GGCACCTCCTATTTATAACCACCCAATCCCAATCATATACATGTCCAACCCACTCTTGAAACAATCGAGGGACCCCACCTCCACCACGTTACGAGGTAATTGGTTCCACAAATCAACAACCCTGTTACCGAACCAGTATTTACCCAAGTCTTTCCTAAATCTAAATCTAATACCTGCCTCCATACAAAAACAAATCTCAAGTGAGAACATATGTTCTCACTTAAATATTGGGGCGAATAAAATTCGCCCCTATTAGCCCCCACTAGCAACCCGATATTCCTGAGTATATGAAACAATTACAGAGCTCAAAATACCTCATGTCAAGAAAGCTGTTGGCGATCCCATACTGATTGACCTCGCTGAGTTTGCATTGAAAATATACAGCTTACCAATAAATAATGCCCCCTGGTTGAACGGGTATTTTCGACAGTAACATCTGTGTAAACTAAACTGAGAAATCGAATGAGATTCCAGCTTTTGACATCAATCTTGAGAATCAAAACATTTTTGGAAGAAAACGAAACTTGTTTCAAGCGTGGGTTGGACATGTATATGAGTGGGATTGAGAGGTTATAAATAGGAGCTGCCTCGTGTGGGCCAATAGGCCTTCTGCAGTTACCTTTGTTCTTATGTTCTTATCACTAGCCACCCATGTCAATACTTAAATAACAATGTGCAGTATACAAAAACGAGGTTGTTGCCAGTATAAGGATTAATTACTCGTGGATGCAGACGAATATCGATCTTCTAGATAATCTTCAGCTGTGAAGACGTAAAGATAATATTACTATAACCATTAAAATCGTGTAGTGTACTCTATGTATTAAAATATATATTATTTTGAAAACCGTATCAGTCACTAAACAAAAAATTGGGCTACTTTTATTACAAATTCGCTACTTTTTAGACCGTCAGCTCGCTACTTTCAGCAAATCGGAACTGGCAACTCTCTCAGCGACTGGTTGTTGTGGGTTGTAGTCGTGGTGGTGGTAGGACCGTGCTGGTAGTGTGCTGGTAGTGAGCTGCGTCTTCACCACTCCAGTCATACTTCCTCTCCAGCGTGCTGGTGGGACATATTTCTCTTCTTGACCACTGTGAGTAACCTGCAGGGGGCCGCCATGGGTGTATGAGATACGATGTTCAGCCCGTGTTCAGACCCGCTCCTGTGCCAGGTCAACCCATAGTGCTGATGTCTCTCAGGTGTTCACATTCACGTAGATAGTGGTCAAGGCGGTGTCCATCACTCTCGCCACAGATTCTACAACTTCGCTGATCAACTGTTGTTTCCATTCCATATCTAGTTGGATATTTGTATCCAAGACGGATTCTCGCTATTACTATGTTGTTGAGTACGGTTGAGGGTTGTGATTGACGCATGTTGTGATGGGCATCACACACGTGGTGTCTAACTACTAACACGTGGCCACTAACTACCTCCACACACGTAGTGTCAGGTAGTTAGTGGTGATCGACAAGTTCACTACAGTGTCGGTGAACAGATAACAGGTTTGAGGAGGAGTTAAACTACATCGATGTTATAGATTCAGTTACTTGGAACATAAATGTTCCAAGTAGCACAGGCTATGGTGATCCATAGTAAAAAAAAAAAAAAAACTTGATAGGCAGATGAAGTCATAATAACGTGGCTGAAAAATGTTGACCAGACCACACACTAGAAATTGAAGACGACGACGTTTCGGTCCATCCTGGACCATAATAAAGTAGATTGTGACTAATAGACTACATAGTGTAGTGGGTCTGTGTTCACGTGGTAGCTTGTGTAGTCTTAGTGCTTAGCAGTCTTAGAACGCTCTTAGTTCTTTGGGTCGTGCACACCGGCATTTTACGTACATTGTTTTATCCATGACTTGTAAATGGCAACAAAAATTTTCACTTTTTAACCGTTGAATGAGAGCCAGTGCTTCATAATTAATTTCAGGATCCCTGTAGTCAACCCGTCCTCAGACCAAGTCCATTCTATCCAGCGGTCGACCCCAAAGATGCAGTCATCAATTTTAACATGCTGTTAATTCAATACAGGAATTTTCTTAAATATAAATTATATATATTAGCATAATATATATTTTTAGGCATTGGTTAGGTTAAGTTAGGTGTCTAGGTTCTGTTGGCGATTAATTGTATTTGTAGTATGTGGGTGAAGCACTTACAGGTTGTGGTTTGAACAAAATTCATCAGTGAAGCACCTGTTCTGGAAGTGTTCGGACATCAGTAGAGTTGTGTAAACCATTTTTTATTCATAAACAGCGGGATTGGCTGGCGCATGGAATCACTTTTGGGCTTTGTGTCTGAGGACGGGCTGCTGTAGTACAGTAGAATTCATTCTCGACCCCCCCATCGAGAATTCCGCGTTTGAATCCCAAGCAGGACAGAAATAGTTGGGCTTATTTCCTATTACCTAATGCATCTGTTCAGTAAGTAGGTACCCAGGAGTTAGTCATTTTGTGAGGATGCATCCTGGAAGGATGGGATTTTAGTAGTTTGACCTGGGGGGGGGGAGGACCTTGATATAATCATAACTTGTGTAAATGCACCCTGGCTGCCTGTTCCCCTGACAAGATTTATAAAATTAACATTTACCTGAGGGTCACTAACACTAGTGGCCTTGATGAGAACAGGAAGCCAGTGGCTTGTTAAAGGTCCCCCCTATTTGTCCTGATTTTTTCAAGTTGGATTTTAAAGTTGAGCAGAGTTTTGGCATTTACAACTTTTGCAGGTAGGCAGTTTCATGGGTTATAACCCTGTGGGTGAAAAAACATTTTCAGTCCTACACTGGCTTGAGCTTGAAATCCTTGCTATTTGCATTACATTTTACCTTTTTGAAGAATTTGTTTGGATCAACATTCTCCAAATTATTTAGTATTTTGAATGTTTCGATGAGATCGGCCCAATCATGTCTGGTTTGCAGTACTGTATAGTGGTACCTTCTTTTATGAATTTAATCCATTCCCAGAGACTGTTTGTAAATCGAAATGAATTTTCACATAAGAAATAATGTAAATTGAATTAATCCATTCCACACTCCCAAAAATATAAACTTAAAAATACATTTTATACATGCTCTACTAATATTTTGTACTACAGTATGTACAAGTATATCTTGCCTTTAATGAGGATTCTTGTTAGCACATGGAAGACAGGTGAGAGGGGAGGAGGAGAGGTGTTAGTGTTTAGAATGGGAGTCTCCTTCCATTATAACATCAGGCACACAGTCCTGGGGTACTCTCTCTCTCCTACGTTTTGCAGGCATACCACTAGGACCTGGTTGTGGCTCACTGCTTGCTTGTCTTGCTAAGAATCTGTCCATAGACACTTATTTTTCCCTACAATTTAACACTTGTCTATAGTGAGACATCATTCTCACTATGAATGATCTCTTGTTTTTCCTCTATAGACATCCTCACAACGATTTTCTTAGGTTGAACTTTACCACTGACATTCTTAGGACACATGGCATGATATATAATAATTAATTATATGCTCAGAAACCAAAAAAAGCACAAAAACAAATAAATTCTTTACAAAGAATTCAAGTGCGATTGTCAATAGGAGGGAGACACTGGTAAATTGAAGCTTGTCTCGCCCGTGCCACCAGGAACCATGCGCGCGTTCGAGCCATACATGTATCAACAAACTTGCCAAGCGAGGCAAAGCTCATATAAGAGTCGAATTTTACATAGAAATTGAGCTCATAACCCCAAAAATTCATAGAGGGGCAGTCGTCAACCGAGGTTCTACTGTATTGTTAGCCCTGTAGCCCTCAACCATTCCTGGTATGAGAGCTGACTTGGTTCTGGAATTATTTTTGTTGCCTGGGGCTTAACTTTCTCCAATCTGGATTTTATTTAAACTGTCTATTTGTATCCGGACAAACGTCCGGTCATCCGGATATGTACATAAAATTACCTGGGTGCAATTTTGTCCAGATAACCCTGATATTTGGCTTAGTGGAATCCAGATAAGAGCTCGTACCTTAGTACTGTATTAACAATTTTGCGTGTTTAACAGGAAATGAAATACAGTGGCACCTCGACTTACGATTGCCCCTACTTACGATAATTTCGCGTTATGATGTAAATTTCATCGAAAAATGCAACTCGACATCCGATGGTGTCGTCGACTTACGATATTTGTTGGTACACGTTCGGGTTGACCGATCGTGTGATTCCTGGTCACGCGGCTGACCTACCTTAGTTTACTACAGCTGCCTGCTTAGTGACGATCGCGCCTATAAGAAATTTTGCTTTTTTGGTGATTTTTTGCATTTTGAACATTAAAGTTATTATATATCACGCCATGAGTCCCAGGAAAGTCAGTGGTAAGGCTCAACATATGAGATTCCATGTAAGGATGACCATAGAGCAGAAACAAGAGATCGTTCGTAAATATGAAGATGGTGTGCGGTGCGGGACTGGCTAGGCAGTACGACAAATCTCGGTCAACGATATCCACCATACTGGATAAGAAAAAGGACATTATGGGTGCTAAAGTGATGCATCATTACAGACAAATGTTAAAACGAAGGGAAAAACAAATGTCTCTTGACAAATTTGTAGTGAGACAAACAAGCACTGAACCACAACCAGGTCCTAGTGGTATTCAGGCAAAATGTAGGAGAGAGTACCCCAGAGAAAACAGCACTGCCTGATGTGATAATGGAAGGGGACTTCCCTTCCAAACGGTAACACCTCTCCTCCTCCCCCCTCATCACCATCTTCCATAAGCCATCAAGAGCCCTCCATAAAGGTAAGATAAACTTAGGTACTGTATTGTAGTTAGAAAAAACATTGTATTCAGTATAAAATGTATTTGTATGTTAATATTTTGGAGAGTGGGGAACGGATTAATTCAAATCTTTCTTATGGGAAAAATCGCTTCAACTTGCGATTCGTCTCTGGGAATGGATTAGCATTGTAAGTCGAGACCCCATTGTATTTTGAAAATATTAGTATTGTATTGTTAATACTGTGTGTTCATTTCAGGCTTCTGTACGGCGACATGCTGGCCCACATGTCAAGATACCCTCTTCGGCTGCCTATGAGGATGATTCCTGTAAGTTGAATTATCAGTTGCACTTTAACTGAGTTTTTGTTGAACACAGTGATAATATGGCTCCTGTTGATAGTTACCTGTAATGTTTTATAGAAAATAAAAAAAAAAGTAAAAATCTGTACAGTTTGACATTACTTAATGTCTACCTGCAAAGCTAGATACTAATTATTAAAGATTAAATTATTAAATTAACTTATTGAATTCACACCAATTTAATTACAGGGGTGTCTCAAATCTAGAAACCTTAATATTATGGTGCGGCCTTTACTTTGTTTACATGCCACTTGTTAAACAACATTTTACATATAGCTTTAATGTCTAAAGTTTGCATTCTTAGCCTTTACACTCATTTGTGCTTTATTTTATTTTAGCATATTTATAAGCAAAGACATTTTTGGCAAGTTAGATAAATGAAGCTTTAATGTTAACACACACATGTTAACCAGAAAACATATAAATAAGACTAAACCAGGTTTATATATGTAAAGTGGGATAGTTCGGGATTGTTCAGTCTTCGAGCTTGCCAGCACTGGTTATATTAAGGTCCACAGTAAATTGTCACAGCATATAATATCCTAGCTCCCTGAATCCTGGGTAAGAGCCAATAATACGTTTTGTTTACCTTCTATATTGTCACACTTGGACACTGTTAAAGGTAGCTGGCAGCTCGTGGGGTCCCTTGTTTTGATGTGCTTAGAATCCAGATTGTAAAAAAAACTTGGGTCAATTTTTATCAAGGGGTCTCTGAAGGGACTCCTGGTTTAACCTTGAAGAGCAGATGTCTGGACACCTGCTCTGCCTGGGGGTCACCGGATCATGTTCAGTTACAGTAGGGTTTTGATGCTGCCATCTGGCATTCCTTATAAACGGTTAAGATTGTTAAGACACCTGGCCCATATATTGCCCGAGATCACAAAGTTGATAGATTTTGACAAGTTTTTGGTCGATTCTTTGGGTGGGGAGATAGTGTCTGGTGTTGGCTTGGCTGAGAGGTGCCAGGGTTTGGAGAAGTCTTGGTGGGCTCCTGGTGTGACCTCGTAGTGATGGGCAGTTGGCTTCTGTTTTGCCAGGGGACACGGAAGATTTTTTTTGTTATGACTACTCGGTGTTCTGTGTGGTGTGGGGCCCGGTGCTTGCCTTCTTAAGGGACTCTTGGGGCTCCCCAGTCATCTGCTCAGCAGTGTGTTTATTTGCTGCAAGGTGGTCAATGGTCCACATAGTTACAAAAAGTACTATGTAAACAAGAGGATGAATTGTATTATAATAACACTTAAGGTTCTCTGCTAGAAATAAATCTGCTCCTAGTGCTTAGTGTGCAGAATCCATAGAAAATGGGATTAGACCCATGAATGAGTTTGTGATAACTTTTTTTTTTTCATAATTTAAGTCTGGTGTGCAAAAGTGTCGTGGCACCTTTTGCAAGAGTATACGCAAGATAGTAAGGGAAGATGTTTTTTCATGTTTGTCAAATACAGTATTGTATAATGAAATGTGCACATACAAAAGTATAAATTTATATACATGGTTCAGAAGTTAGATTTCAACTTTATATTTGAAAACAATTGATAAGATTCATTAATAATTCTGTACATTTACTGCTTTCCTCATTGATTTGTTTATATTTACAGGGAGGTCGTGGTGGGCAGACTATGCATCAGGATAGATTTATTGGATCAGGAGCAGCAATTCTCGTTGGTTTAGGCCTCTGCATATCCTCCTTTTCTCTCAAAAAACTCTCTGCCATGCCAGATAGACCAACACGTCTTATCTAGGTACAGTAGTGTACCTAAAGGCAGAAGATTCATTGGAATGGTTTAAAACTCATGGCAGTACAATCCTTATGCGAAAGGATGACATTGAATTTAAGCTTTATGGAATTTGCTTATTATATATTGAAGTAAATTATACACAATGAAATTTGTCTTATTTGCTTCCCAGCTTGTGTTTATGAAAGAAAATGAATAAATATTTAGTAAAAAAGTCTAGTGGAAATGTAGCATTTGTACATGTAATGCAGTAGCTACCTGTACTGTGTTTTAACTTCACATCAATGCTAATAATTGAGCACTCCCTTTTTTTTTTTTAATCTTGTTAGCATATTTTTAAAAAGTCTAACCAATATTCACATTGGTTATTCTTAGTTGCCTATCATCACCAGAATTGCTTCTTCCGGCTGTTGGTAATCTGAAAATAAATTTGCACCTTCAAATACCTGCTAGTAAGGTGGTAATGAAATTGAGGGGTTGAAAAATGTATTGTTGAACAAATTTTGTATCAAAGGTTACCAAATTTTTGTATTTAGTTTCCAGTTTATGGAGACCGAAAAAGGCCTATTCCTCTATTTTGTGCTTTCGGAATAGTTTAGCATTGTCCATCTTTAAAAGTTCGGCAAACAATTAGTGTGTTAATTTGAGTGTCAAAGTACAATAAGGGGACTTGCAACTTGTCTTAATGGGCTATTATTTGTGTTCGTTGATTTTCACTGTAGGTAATATAGGCAGTCCATAACTTGGAAACCATGATGCATTTTGAAAAAACATTCAATTGCTGGCAATTCTAAACTCTTAACTAAATTTCCCCCTAGATTTTCCCAAGGCATAAGGATGTAAATGTGGAATGCATTCCTGGACCATAAAAAATCATATGAAAATTAAAGTTTTTGGGACAAATAATGTAAGATACTGATTTGTTTAACTTGAATGATAGAATTGCCCTTTCTTGTCTGATACGATCCTTTTTGAAGGAAGAGTGGTAGAATTACAGTACTGGAGGAGGAGGAGGCAGTAAAAGGTGGTGATGCTCAAGTACTGGTGCATCACCACTACAGTACAACTTTTTGGCCTTTATTAAGGAATTTTTCATAATGATTGAAATAATTCATTAATAGCACTGAACATTAAGAAAGGGAACCATTGGGATAGTGCCAAGCCATTATGACTATAGCACTTGGAAGGGGTCAGGATAAAGATTTGGAATGGAATGGGAAATGAGAAAGCAATGGTGCCCAATCACTTGGACGGTTGGGATTGAACGCCGACCTGCACGAAGCAAGACCATCGCTCTACCGTCCACCCCTTGCAATTATTTTGTGTAGTGATAAGAGTGGGCTATAACGGATTTAGAGGCTGTACATAGGTTGGGAACCCCTTGTACTGTAATATTATTGCTTGTACCATATATTACCATTTTAGATGAAGCGAGTTCAGTACTGTATATTAATAAAGTTGTTAAATGTTAACAAGACACTGCATGATGGCACTGCTTTGCATGGAAATATATCATAACCTTGTATTGCTGTTTTTTATTATTTTAAATTGTATGGAATATTGTTTATCCAAATAAGCTTTAGCTAAGCAGTTTGGGTACATAAGTTTAACACTGAGAAGGTTTGGTACAAGGGCTGCAGATGTGCCTAAAAACGTGCTTAAAGGTTGGCTATTAATCTGTGATGTGAAGCATCCCTTCAGCATGTGTAGCCATGGCATGGACATAAATACTGTCCCCAAATTATTTAGTCATTTGGAATTAATCACACGTATTGCTTAAGAAAAGAATTGAATGTATTGCATCTTCTAATAATTTATTGATAACTTAAGTCCTACAATTTTCAAGAAATATATACAAAATTCTTCGTATTATGAAGAGCTAGATAAAATAACCGAGATTTGGTAGGCAGTGTAGAATACTAACAGACCCAGTGAATATACTGATAGACGCCATAAACACGATCAGAGAACACTATAAATATTGGAGGCCCACAACTACTAGAACCTACCAGTGGGGGAAAACAATACAGCCAGAAAGGGTTGAAGTTTAAGAGTTAAGTTTCCTGCAGAAAGTGCCAGACCAGATGGGTTCACCTGCAGACTGTTGCCAACAATATCCTTAACAATCAAGTTATCACAAATTTCTGGCACTGTGCTAGCCACAGGAGTAGAATTACAAATTATACTAATAAATAACAGTACAGCTATAATATTACACATTCATTTGGGAAGAAATGCCCAAGACCAATATAAGAGGATACTGCCTTCATTAAAAACACAATTCATTAATAGCACTGTGATGTTGAGACCTTGCAATTATTGTGTAGTGGTACAAGGGGGCTAAAATGAGTATTTTACTAATGGGTTACTGCATCAGTAAATATGCTTTGGTTCTATAGTGCACTAGACCTGCCTAATTGCTTGACCAATGTTCTAAACCTCGTCACAATCAAACTCATGTACATTTGCTTTTCTTCATTAGACATAATTATGAAAGTAAATTTCATGTAAATCTGTTGCAAAGTTCTGTTGATTTGTGTTCAGAATACACACAATACAAGCAATGTTGGTGTTCCACAATAGTTTACTTGCCTGTATTTGCACTAAAATTGATGTTAATACAGTAGTGTTCATCATTGAACATTACACATCAAATACTGAGTCTGTACATATTTTTACTTATATCTAATAGGTATACTGTATATATTGTAAACTGCATTATTATTATTTTAGTGCAGTTGATAATGGTTTTGTTCCATGTACTGTATATTCAAACAATAAATTCTTTCTATTTAGAATTTTATTTTGCACACCTGAATTTAAAAAGATGTCTGTATGGATATGTCCTTACCTATCAGTAACTATAGGAGAGTGGAGATCTTGCTTTTTGTCCCGTTTATATCTGACGCACCAATTACCTCTCACTCTACATTAACATTTTCATAATATTTTTTTCTTAAAGTTGTGGATAGAATTAACTTCAACAACCTTTTTCTTAAATGCATTCCCCTTTTGACCACCTGTACAGGAAATAAGAATTTCCTTACATCTCTTCAACTCAATTTCATGTCCAGCTTCCATTGATGTCACCTGCCCTATCTCACTTTTTATTTATTTTTTTATTTTTTTACTAGCTGTACCCGGCCACAGCAACCCTCCTCCGTTCCCCCTGTCCTCCCCACCATTCACTCCTCCCCCGTCCCCTTGTCTTCCTAACCATTCCCCACTTCCCCATCCCTTTGTCTTCCCCACATCCCCCACTCCCCCATCCCCTCGTCCTCCCTACCATATCCCCCTCCATGTCCCCTCATCCTCCCCCACTCCCCCTTCCCTTCGTCCTCCCCACCATCCCTCACTCCCCTGTCCCCTTGTCCTCTCCACTATCCCCTTCACCATCCCTCACTCCTCTTTCCCCTCCCCCCAACCACCATTCTCCACTCCCCCATCCCCCTCGTCTTCCCCACCATTACCCACTCCCCCGTCCCATTCGTTCTCCCCACTCCCCCCATCCCATTCGTCCTCCCCATCATTCCCCACTCCCCTCATCCTTCCCACCAATTCCCCATCCCCTCATCCTCCCCACCATCCCCCGTCCCCCCTCGTCCTCCCCACCATTCCCTGTCCCCCCTCGTCCTCCCCACCATCCCCCGTCCCCCCCACCATCCCCTGTCCCCCCTCGTCCTCCCCACCATCCCCCGTCCCCCCTCGTCCTACCCACCATCACCCACTTCCCGTCCCTTTGTCCTCCCCACCATCCCCCAGTTGTCCCCACCATTCCCCGGTCACCTTGTTCTTCCCACCATCCCCTCGTTCTCCCCCTGCCATCATTTTTCCCCGCCCCACCATTTTCCCCTTCCCCATCCTCCTCGTCCTCCCCACAATCCCGTCCCCTGGTCCTCCCCACCATTCCAACTTTCCCGTGCCCTCGTCCTCCCCACCATTCCCCCCTTCCCCTCGTCCTCCCCACCATCCCCCATTCCCTTGTCCTCCCCACCATTCCCCCCCTCTTCCCCGTCTGATGCGTTCCCAAATGATCTGATGTTCCCATCATAAAAAATGGAAACATCAAATGATCTCTGCTGATGTTCTTCACAAAATGTTCCATACTCACAAAATGAACAGTATGGTAAATGACACCGCTCAATTCTAATGCAATGTCACATGAAATAAATAATCAAAATCTATGACTATTTAATGTAACAATGCAATCAGAAACATTGAAGTGAAATCGTAAAATATTTAGCGTAAAATATAAGCGTATGTTGCTTTTACTTCCAAATAGTGGCGCTGTTTTTCAAGAAAAGCATGTTGTTACCTGTTACAGATGTGACATCTATATAGTAGATATATAAAAACACACTTATTTGAATGGAACGTAGTGTCAAAATTTCAAAGCAATTGGTGAAGAACTTTCGGAGATTAGCGATTTTGAAAAAATGAACATTTTCATTTTTATTTATCGATTTAAATAGGCTTCCTTTGTCCACTTTGTTCCCACTTAAAATTTTGTGTGTAGTTATCATATTTCTTCTATTTCTCCTCTCTAAGATTGCAAGGATAAGTTCTCTGAAACTGTCCTTATAACCGAGGCCTCTCAATTCTGCAACCTGTCCTCAGGATAGGCTCATCCAGGCATTGGCCAAAGCCAACGATGCATTCATAATGTACTGTGCATTGAAAATTTGTATTTTCTTAAATAAGGAAATATTATTAGACTAGAATGTGTTGAATAGTTAGGTGTACCTTAGGTTAGTTTCTGTTGGCAATTACAATATTGGTATTTACAATATGTGAATCAAGCATTGAGAGAGGTGCAATGTGAGTAGAGGATGGGAACAAAGCACTATTCTTGAAAAGTATATATGTCATCAGGAGAGTTATGTGGGCAGTGTTTTTCATTAAAAAATGAGGGTTTGGTGGCTGGATTAATAACTTATGATGTTTGTTGATAGGGACACATTGCAATCTGGTACTAATCTAGTTGCAAATGCAAGCTTGCAACCTTAACCAAGTTTCTGCTTATGTTTCACAAAGTGTGGGTTCCATGCTGGTGCTGCATACTCAAGTAATGACCTCACATATGCAGAGTGTATTTATATACTTTATATGTTTGTATATCTGTCTTGTACCTAATAGTCAGAGTTGCATAACAAAGTTAATTTTTTAAGTATTAAATTTAAAAAAATTGATCTTGGAATAAGTTTTAATTCAGTATACATTATTAGAATTTGTATTATTTACGTCAAAATTAAGAAACCTAACCTAAATATGCCAGTTATTTCTCAATACTGTCTAACATAGGTACAACTAGGCCTAATTAGGTTATAAATTCATGTTTTAAATAATGCTAAAATTTTTAGAGGTGAACAAATTTTGAAAGAAACATTAGAAAATAAGAAAAATTACACTGGCTGTTAAGCAAAAGGAGTTCTGTTTACTAGGCCAAGTAGTGCAGTTCTGGTTATTAGGTACAACATTGTTACATGGGTGAGTACAAGGAATAATCACACAAGTAGCTGGGAGATGCCGTGTCCCTCTAGCTGAGAACCTATATAATATATTGCAAGGCTTTCAAACACCATGGACCCACTCTACACCAGTTTTAAAGAACTCGCCTGAATTCTCGGAGCAACCACCATCTGTGAGAATTGCCTGCTTAGCCTTGGTGTTACTAATAAGTAATCATCACCAAGGAATGGGACAACACCAACCTTTAAATATAGGTAAGCCTTGACCTTGTAGGTCAACTGAATCCTAAGTCCACTATGGGCTCACCATAGCCTGTGCTACTTGGAACTTTTGTATCGAGTGGCTGAATCTATAACAACAATAATAACTCTTGTCACATACACTCTCTCTGGCTCACTGCACATTCAATGTACTAGGCTGATCCCCATTAACCCTCACACTTAGTTTTAGTTTACTGTACTGTTATTATTTTAAATCATTGATATCGATTGTTTTCTGAATTGATATTATCGATTCAGTAGAATCCCAGGTTGTATAACTTTTACCAGGTCAGGGTGGTAGAGGTTGTGGCTGGAAGTCTATTGGTTGTGGGTCTGAGTCAGCAAAGAGCTCCAGTTGATTTTCTAATTATTATTATTGAGAAAATCCATAGGAGCCGTGATGAGAATTCGAATCCATGCAACCTTTTTTCTCCTTTCCCTTCTTTATCTCCAGTTTATCCATCATGTTTTCTTTCTTTTATTTTCTTACACCTTGGTCTAAGAAACTGGCAGGTATTTTATGCTAACTTTGCAGCATGACAGTAAAGAGACTGTCTCCTATTCCCCAACTCCCTGACTGATAGCTAGTGTTGCTCCTCTGTCCTTTATGATGTTATCTCAGGTCAGGTCCTTGCCTCACCTTGGACTACTGGTCACATTATAAACACCATGTGCTCCTACACTATTCCTTACAAAATCACAATTTCTATTTTTTTTTTCTTTATGTTTGCATGACATTTGTTTGCATACAAGTGCATTGCATGCACTTGTATGCATTTTTTCACTACAATACAGTATCCCATCCCTCCATCCTCACTTGTAAGGTGTTACTAAGCAGTGAAATAACTGCTTGTTATCTCGTTTGCTATTTTGTTTACCATGCTCTTGTCTTGCTCTATCTTTCTGGGGGACCAGGTTTTGGTCTCTGGTTGGCTACTAATTCCTCAAAGTCTGATTCAATTTGATAGGTGTGAAACTATCCTGAGCAGCTAGCAACAGTAAGCCATTTTGGAAGCCCTCCCCAAAAAAGATATAAGGTGGTTCATCACTAAATGGGACAAAGAGAAGCAGGTCCCCATTTCATCGTGTGCCCAAGAGTTGAGCGTATGCAGCCAATAATGATCAAGGAAAAGGTGTTTCATAACAATAGAAAGGGTTTATCTTTTGTGTTACCTTACAAAACTATAAAAGTTGGACCTTTCATGAGGGCAAGGATGGAACAATATGAAGAGATACATTCTGTGTACATTGTAGATGTACACAAAAATATTTACAAACAGGCCATCCTTACAGTAAAAGAAAGGAAGAGAAAATAGGGACCACTAGAGGGGCAGTAGTTAAAGTACAGCACACGCAAGCTTCATTCTGCAAGATCACAATAAAGATCCAGCTTCATCCTGCTATTAACATGATTGTAACTTGGCACTAAATAAAGCTAATTCCTAATGGAAAAATAATTAGGTCATCAAATTAATTTCTAGGGTCACACTTCAGACAAACTGAGGTAGGATAACAGGCTTGCAGTTTTGTTAGGAATGTTAATGACATTCCTAATGAACCCTAATCTGTTAATTAAAACAAAAAGAAAATCGGTTTCAATTTGTAAACCTCTGCTCTTCTCTAAAAGTGTTCCTTCCTGAAACCGCATTGATCACACTGCCGTACTGTTGTTTTCCTTCATATAATGCCATGCAATAGCTAGGTAGGTCTAGTTTTTAAAGTAGTGTTTTACTTCCCTCTTGATTCTGTTGCACTCATTCCTGTTCTTAAGTGCCTTCTTATTTGCTTCTGTATCTTTATCCCTATAATTTTCCATGCCTTTTTTTGGGGGGGGGTCTTCTCTTTTTCCTCCTTGCTCTGTTGACCCATGGATTTGCTTTTGTCTTTTCATTCACTTTCCGCCTGCAAGATATGAACTGTTCCATTTTTCTATGAATTTATCTTACAAATTCCATCAATTCATTTACCGAATTTCCTTCCAATTTAGTTTTCCCCCGTGAACATCCTACGTGTAGTTCCTACCGCTCTTATTTTCTTGCACTCTTTAGCCTATTTTATTGTCTGCCTCCCTCTTCCAGTTTTACACTGTAGTCTAATATAATAGTCAATGGATCCTAGTGGTATCTCATTTTATCTATAGCGGCTTGATTTTTGGGTAGACACCAGGTATTTTTCTTTGTTGTGTCCAGTAATCTTACTTTCTATGTTTTATCTCCAGTAATATTACTTTCTATGTTTTAGCTATCAAAATTATTCTTACTTGGGATGCAAGTCCTAACTGTAACCTCACAGTGCTCCCTGTGTAACACAATCAATAGTGAAACATTGAATGCGCACACACACACGCACACACTGCATAAAATAACCTAAATGGTTCCAATACAGTACCTGGTTCCAGACCTAAATCCCAATATAATCATTCTTAATTGCATTTACAGGAACATAGGCATACTCATTTCAAGACAGGTTCAATTAAAATTTAATGAAATACAGTACAACTCCAGTTGCTATCAAACATCATGAGTTAAAAGTCACAGGAGTTTTAGACGTTAACAAATTTTGGGACAGACAGTTTCTATATAATTATTAATCAGGGGACACAAAGGCACAATGTACAATACAGTATATACCAGTTTCACTAAAAATCATAGTAATGTTCTCATATCTAGTCAAGGTTTCTCACCAAAGAATAATATAACAATAGACCACCTAATGGTTATTTCAGTCTTATGAAAATTAAATTAAGCTAAATTTGTTTTCTTAATGCTAATGATTTTAATCAAAATGACAATTTTTATTTTTCCAACATTAAATTTTGATCAATTTCAGTTTATTTGAGGTAAAAATGAAAAAATATTGCCAGCAAAATAGGATTTTTTTTTTTACCAGTTATAAATTCAAAGAAGTTTCTCTAAATTAAATGATATCCAGCCATGCTTAGATTTTTGTTGATTTATTGGCTCTTGCTCCTGGATACATTTTTTGTCATTGGAGCAATATAACAATTGTCTCAAAAAATGTTGATTCCATCTTTAACTTAAAAAAGAAGATTACCTCAAATTTATAATTTGAGGTAAACACCAGACACTTACCATAATGTGCCGTACATGTATAATTCCTTCATAACACGACACAATAGCCTACAGCAACAGACCCTTTGACTTCAGATGCTTATAAAAGTGTTTCTTCAAAGTTATAATCACTTTCTCTGGCAGTAGAATTTTTGGATACAATATACTCAACAAATCCTACACAAAATTCCATTGTTCATCACTTTGTTGTTTTCCCCTTATTAAATATATTTCCCAACTACTGTACTTATCTGCTATGCCTTTTGAATAAAAATGATAATAATGATCTACAGTATTTACACCTTATGATGTGTTGCAGAGGCAACTTTTATATACCATACTTTTGTGTTGTGAAATTATAGGAACATTCCTATTGTTTAATGGTATTTGTTTCACCTCTGTGAGGACTAAAAGCAATTAGGGTAAATGACTGATAATCATGAAAAAAGAATAATTATTAGGTTTTCTTTTAATTAATTAAAGTACTGTAATTACTACAGTACAGTATTATAATTATTACACTTTTCTAGACTGTGATGTTCGAAAAAACATTTATCTTCTCTAAACAAGGGTAACAAATAATAAATTTTTCAATCTGGATAACAGCCCCATGGGCAATTTAAGTTTTAAGAACACCATGAATTTAGAAGAAATACACCTGTTTATATAGAATAATGCTACTAACATTCAATACAATGAATATATCGAATGTCTTATTAAAACTAAATCTGTTTGTAATAGTTAATACATTTCAAACTGAAGTTGTGTATAATTTAAATCATAGTTGCACTTACATATAATTACAGGACTTGATAAACAATGCTGTGTTATGGCTCGAGTCTTTCTTAACAATGAGTGTAATGTCCTCAAATTTTCACAAATATGACGTTGAGCACTTATTTATAATTATTTATAAACACAAAGATACACACACACACACACACTGCTATCATCTTCCTAAAACTCTTACAGACATTGCATAAAAATATAAGAAATGGATATTGTCACCATTCTTAATTATTTTATATTGATACAATTCCTAAAGTGCATACATGAATTTTTTAAGGTCCATAGATTTTGAGGGTTCGATCCATTGATGTAGATGCTAAGTAGGATGCATTTGACCCAAACCGAACTCCAGTGGCCATGGCTGTGTGGTCATTAAATATCCTAAGGTCATTCCATTGTTTACATAGATACACTCTGAAAGAAAAAACAAAAAATTAAATCTTTACCATGAGTGTAATACAAATACAGTATTGAAATACAGTACACTATAGTACAGTAAAGGCTGCATGAGGTGTGGTAGTGCCTACTCCTCTCTATGGATATGAGAATGTGAAACTGCCATGGGAAGATGTGCATTGCAAAAATTTGAAATCGCAAGAGTAAGAAGTGTGAAGTAAGATATCGAAGTTTTGCTTCCAAATGTCAGGGTTAGGAGTAGTATACTATTTGTTAGTCCTTTCTAGACTCCTATGCTAACATTCCTTCTTTTAGCTGTACAATCGGAAATCATCTTTCCTACCACTATTTTCCCCTGCCCTCTCATTACTTATGCTTATTTATTTCATCTTCCATACTCTAACATCACTCCTAACTACATTAAGTCTATCACCTCTTTCAGTATCATTTCTCCATATTTATCCTAAGTTCAAGTAACTGTTTTGCCACTAGTAGGATTATAACATTCACAACATCCCATTGATTTTACTTTTTATTGTATTGATCTTCAACTTTCCTCTTTTGCAAGCAATACACATCTTAGTCATAAGTCCTCCTTATTATCACCAAAGTATGCTGCGCATCAGCTACACAAAAATATGACAAAAATAACAATTTATCTCCATCACAGTCCACTTAAACTCTTGCTCAAAGTGTTCTAACCCACACCCATTCAGTGGAAGTTTGCTCCAACAAAACAATGTGTACTTTCACACTAACAGAATAATAGTGTTGGAATAAACATCTTCCACTCTATCCCAAAACCTGTCACATCTAGTGAAGGCATAGACTCATAATTTTCAACAACAATAACTATCTTTTACTGGAAATAATGCAACTTGTATTTAATAATATTTTGTTAACTTAAATAATACAAATCAACTCATTACTTCTCTTGAGGAAAAGCTACTCACCTGACATCTGTTCCTGCAACAGCCAAGTATGTGCCTGATTGGTCAAAACAAAGGTCCATGACTTCATAACCCTCATCTAACTGGATTGTTTTAAAGTTTTTGAGCTTACGCAAATCCCAGAGCCTCACAGTTGAGTCTTCTGCAGCTGTTGCAAGGTAATACCCATTTTCACTGAAGGCAATGGAACTAATTGCTCCACTATGACCTGAAAAATAAAAAGATGTACATATTAGATCAGTTGATAATCATACAAAAAACACTGATCATGTAATCTTTCATGGGGCTGGATTTCTTGAATGTGAGTAATGAGAATGACATTATAAATGCTCTTAACATCTGACTAAATTTGCTAAGAAATATCTTAAACATCATCCAAAGATATTGTCATCTCTGATATAACTTTTCCTACTAGACTAGAGTAGCAGGTCTGACAAATCAAGAGGTCTTAACAGACAAAATGTTTGTCAGGACCTTTATATGTATCCTAGGTCCAAATGCCAGCCATATCACACAATACAAACATCACTATGAATACTCTTATATGAAACTCCCTTTTCTTGGTAGCTTCAGCAGCTCCCCGGTGTATTGTACCACAGAGATATATCAACAAAACTACCAAATCACTAGACTTGTGCTGACCTACCAAATACTAGGAGCAAAATTTGGTGTGCCCAAGAGACAAAGAGAGCATGGGGTTCCAAAATTGATCCAAAGCTGAATAAAACTGCACAGAAAGTAGGGGCAAGGAGGTCTGGTTAGAGACCAGGCTGCGAGGATGTTGATCTTCAGAATCATGGACAGGTATACAGGTACCTGGATTGAACCTGGATGGGATTCTGGGAGTTCTTCTACTCCCCAAGCCCGGCCTGAGGCCAGGCTTGACTTGTGAGAGCTTGTCTGACAGGCTGTTGCTTGGAGTGGCCCGCAGGCCCACATATCCATTACAGCCCGGTTGGTACGGAACTTCTTGAAGAAAACTATCTAGTTTTCTCTTGAAGATGTTCACATTTGTTCTGCTAATATTTCTTAATACTTGCTGGGAGTGGACCTCTGATGTTTATAATGTTTTCTGATTGTACCTATGGCACCAGGTAAGGAAAGCAAATGATATATCTTGATTGAAAACAAAAAAAAATATGGAAACAAGGGAAGCTATAATTTGTTGAGCATCAACAAACCATGTGTTAGTAGCCAAGGGCACCACCAGGTGTCAGCTCAGATCACCCAGCATTCCAGCCTGCCGGCATTCTCAGTCACATGCAACTCCCAAGAAGCACTTACACATAGTGAGAACATTTTGTGGGCAGATCCATAGCTAAGCCATACCAGAGACCTGTCAGGTCTGGCTGTATTAATATCTAAATAGGAACACCAGACATGAGGGGAATGCTCACCAAGCAATCATCATAGAATCATGTTTGCTCAAACAGCAAACATAGAAAAATGCAACTGAGGAAGGTATTGGCAGTGTAAAGCAAGTCTAGCACATGGACCCCTTGCATGCCCCCAAAATGAAAAGCCTCACCTGCCCCAGCCTAGAGTCTCACAGAGGACTCGAGGATCTAAGCATTACTCCAAGGCAGAACCCTTTGAAAGGAGGTAATTTTCATAGGAACAGACACCCAAACCCCTTAAGGAAGCTAGCTCTGACCAGGCAGGAAGGTATGCCAATGAGCACCTAGGAAAGGCTACCTAAACACAATGCAGCTCAAAGTGAACAAATGAGTTGAGGCCCACTCAACAGAGACAAAAATGCGCATGTAAAGCTAACACCAAAAACTGGAACAAATACAAGCATAAGCCCCTGTGTCGTTACTAATTATTTAAACTATGACAATGGTCATATGCTCACAGAGACTACTTGTATTGGATCTATATTATGTCTGTTTTGCTGTGTCAAAAGTAGTTCTAATAATGCTGGTTTATTTTTTCTTCGCTTTCTTGTTGGTGTCACTGCATATTGCTCTACACATGTCTCTCCCTCCCTGATACTCTCTCATCATCCAATCACTGTGATTAAACTCATCAGTGTTAGTAATTGTGCTCTTATGTGATGTGTGCGATTCTCACAGGACACAGTCTTATATGCTGCCATATATGACTTCAGAAATGAATTGGACAAGAGTGAATGATGGAGACCAAAGGATAAAAGCCAATTGTTAACAATTATTAATACAAACAATGAAACCTACAACTGTATGCACCTTCCCTACCAAAGGGTGAATGAACATTGAGCACTGAATGAAGCTTACTAACTCTAGATCCACAATAACTCTCAAGATTTAAAGCCAATTTATACCCAAAATATTATGGAGCATGAAGAGTGAATATGAAAGAATGTCTTATCAAGGTTTGGAAATGATGGATTAAGGAGATCTATCTCCTTAATCCAAAGCTGAACAGGACTTTATAAACAAAGCTGTCCAATCTAGTGCAATGATATTAGGCATAATATACAGTCTACAACAACAAACTCAGGAAGGTAACAAGATACACAACTGGAAGAGAATGCACTGTAAAGAAATTTGTGGATGTTACCTCAACAAGTTTAAAAAACAAGTATGGTAGTAACATAACGGTGAAAGGTTTAATAGTAACATGTACTAAATATCTGAGATGGAGGCTTAAGAAGACATATCTTGTTTCTGTAGGTTTGCATTAACAAGAAAGTACTTTCCCTCATCTCACACTCGTACATACACATGTAAACACACACAAACAATGGGAAACGGAGAACTTACCCGGGAAATTTGCAACATTTGAACGTTCCTTTAGATCCCAAATTTTGATTGTGGCATCTTGAGTTCCTGTTCCAAGAATCAGACCATCAGGGTGGAACTGGGCAGCAGTCAGAGGTGAGCTGGCTGAAGCATCACTCACCTGTACATAAAACAAGAAGAAATTTCATGAACATACTCAACACCTGTACCCTTAACTCCTCATCCCAATCTCAATATCTGTGGCCTTATTCATCCCATGCTCAACACCTATGAATTAATCATACCATGCCCAATACCTGTGACCTTATGCCTCATCCCATGTTAAACACCTGTACCCATACTCTGCATCCCATGCTCAACAACTGTGCCCTTACTCCTCATCTCATGCTCAACACCTGGGCCCCTTACTCCTCATCTCATGCTCAACAACTGTGCCCTTACTCCTCATCTCATGCTCAACACCTGTGCTCTTACTCCTCATCCCATGCTCAACACCTGGGCCCTTACTCTTCATCTCATGCTCAATACCTGTGCTCTTACTACTCATCCCATGCTCAACACCTGTGCTCTTACTACTCATCCCATGCTCAACACCTGGGCTCTTACTCCTTATCCCATGCTAAACACCTGGGCCCTTACTCATCCCATGCCAAACACCTGGGCCCTTACTCATCCCATGCTCAACACTTGGGCTCTTACTCATTCCATGCTCACCAAAATAAGGACTTGTATAATGATCTGCAAAACATAATTAATTGGCAGCTCAAGCAATGGAATTTAAAAATTCTTAGTTCAAGAAATATGTGAGCATGGTTATAAACAATTTAAGGAAACTGAAACAGAGGGAAATTAAGTTTTTAATGAATAATATTATACAACCTTTTTATTTATGTCATTCACTGTGCACCCTCTTGGGTTAAGCTTATCCAAATACTATGGACCTCAAGAAGTACCTGAACTATTTCAAGGAGCATCTTGTTACGGAGTCTACTATTTCAAGGAGCATCTTGTTACAGAGTCTACTATTTCAAGGAGCATCTTGTTACAGAGTCTACTATTTCAAGGAGCATCTTGTTACAGAGTCTACTATTTCAAGGAGCATCTTGTTACAGAGTCTACTATTTCAAGGAGCATCTTGTTACGGAGTCTAAGGCTACTGCAATACAACCTCCCACAAGTCACAATTAAGCACAAAAATCTGACCAGGGCCAGGGAGATATACCTTTGAGACATATCTCCTACCTCATATATATGAAAATGAGAATGTGTACCTTTAAACACTGAACCCAATAAAAATTATATATGGTTCTACAGATGTTAAGTTTGGGGAGATTGTGGTTGTTGTTATATTGTTATTGCTCATATTCTTCAAGTCATTTCTTGTCTAAGGATGTTGAAGGGTGTGCTGTTAATACCTAGACTTAGTAAGCATGTACAGAAGACCCTCACATTGCAAGTAAATTTATATTTTCATTGACACTGTGCCCAAGATGGAAATTGGTAGTAATGGAAAGTACAGTCTTTCAGTAAAAATGAGTTAAAGACTTATTATACCAGGTATTCAAACAGATGGCCATACCTTGCACAATACACGACCGGTCCTTATGTCTGAGAATGCCCAGTTGTGATCACGGGAGGCTGACAGAAGGTAGTCTCCTGTAGCATGCAGGGACAATCCAGTGACTGGACCATCATGAGCACGGATGAGTTGCAACGTCTGGGAAGTGGCTACATTCCATACACGGATCTGAGAGGAAAATGTTAATAGGTGTAAAAAAATAAAAGGTAACATTATTAAATTATGGGACCAATTATTAATAACTGGTTTCTACACATTTGGAGGATACAGGAGCAGAAATTACCTGACTCATGTAAGCTAAAAATTTTCCTTATCATAGATTTTTGTAAAATCTTAACCTACTTGTTTTCCCAAGAGCATGACCTGACAATTATTTCCCATTTAGGTCTTAAGTTAATGATGAGTGAAGGAATGAATAAACAAAAACCAGTGCCCAATCATCCCACCCTGACCAGGATTCAGACCTACGTCTAACCCACCAAACCACACAACATACAATTATTCCACCAGTCAAATATTTTTAACAATACTATACTTTATTCATAATGGTATTGTGAAAGCATTGTGGAGATATAGTCTAGAAAAAAATTAGCTTTGAGTGAAATAAAATGCCCCTTCTTGGGTGACATTTCAGTAGCTTCTTAGAATTTACTGCACCGGTGCCACAAAGTCATCCCAAATGTCAGGCCACTTTAAGGCTTTTTCTCCCACTGGGAGCAAAAACCAACCCACCAGCCAAGGTGATGTACCCAAAAAGTAAAAATCCTCAGTAAAAAAAAGATCAAGGATATCAAACAATCAATATGATAGTCTGAACAATTAAACAACACCTTCTCTAACACCACTGACTGCCACCAGGTGGTAGCCCAGGTTACCCAGAATACCAGCCAGCTGTTTCTCTCATTTTTGAGATGCAGCTTCCACCCCCATCCACATGGAAGAGGAGGAAGGAAGAAGCTGGGAATGAGGAGCTACAAAGTTACAGCCCAGAAATGGCTCCTTCACTTAAATGGGTAGAATAAGGGAAACATCAGTAGAAGTTGGACACAACTGAGTTGAAGAGCTGTAAGAAGTTCTCATTCCCTGTTTGGGTGGTAAGCAAGTGGAACTCTAAAAGAAGAGATTGTTGAAGCCAATTCCAGCTACAACTTTAAGAAAAAAAAACATGATGAAAATTTTATTATTGAGAGAAGTAATTAGTGTGTCAGTTATAAACTGCTAGGAGGTGGGGCATAATGAGCAAGATCTCACTTCCCTGTAGTCACTGATAAGCACAGAATTTTGACCTGCAAGACCAGGTGCACTTGAGTCAATGTGGTCTTGTAAATGAAGCTGTTCAAACCTGACAAATTGAAGATGTTATGTAGGTCTGCCGAGTCACGCCTCAAGACAGGGAACATTGTGATCTCTACTATGAGTTAGTGGAGGTCACCAACACCTCCAATTCCAGGTCCCCAAACACCATAGGTGCCAACCCTGAGGCATCCAAATGATCACAATGTCATGAACGCCTAACACAAGCAAACACGGCTTCTAAGGAGGCAGCAGCCTGATAAACTTCCAAACTCAAAGCAGACCCTTAATGAGAGTAAATCTCATAGGACTCAGGGTCATTGATGTCACCAACCCAGCAGTCAACATGGTGGAGGCAGAGAATGATCACTGTCTGGTAGAAATTATGACTAACAGCCTTTGAGCTCACACGGTGAGAGCACAGAAGTGATGGTCTGATCCATAACGAACCACACCAGAGGCCTTTGGGGAAATTGCCAGGGTCTGAAGGTAATTAACCAAACTAGACATCCCAGGCACTGAGGCTGCTCGCTGAAAGAAGAGGCACCAGCTTCAGCCAAAACTCCCTGGCTATGGAGGGGGCTTCCCCATAAACGTTCAATATTCATATCTGAATCTATAGACATACAGTAATTTGAAAGTAGTGTCCTTTACTCATGACATGAATGGAAGAGGTCTATAGAGCAAAACTATATATCTGACATTGCAGCTATTCAATGATTGATGGCATCACACATAATTATCACACGTTATGCAAGACCTAATTATGTAAATGTTTGGTCTTTTAGTTATTAGGTTCATTCACATCTAAAAAGGGATGCTATACTGCCTGAATAACTACAGTATGATGGAACTCGAGAAAACAGTTTCATATATTAAACACTTTGATGCCCTGATGACGTTAATCGCAGTCATCCAAACAATACACTCAGTTTGGGGGATGACGTAAATGCAGTCATCCATTAATTTGTTATTATTCTTAATCGTAAGTATAACCATTGTGAATGAAAGAGTTTAACATTGGGTTGTGTGCTCACTGGCAACGCCCGACCTACCTTGCGGTGCGTTGCGGGTGGCCCACCGGGCCAGTGAAAGTGTTAAGCAATAACAGGATAGCACTACATCACAACAAACCTGAGTATCTGGTGAAGCAGTAATAATGGTGTCTTCAGTAGGGTGGTACACCACACATGATACCTTCTTGGTGTGCCCTTTCAGGATAGCAACAACCTGCAACATAAACAAAATTATATTTTTAATCTAAATCCAAACAAATTTAGTTAGTTAGATACAGTACTTCTGCCCACTCACCTAGTTACAATATATTTATTATATTTATTATACACCTAGGAGAGGCGTATAATAAATGCACCCTCCCCTAGGTGCGAAGGCGCACCTAGGGAAGGGAACCCTAGGCGCATGCAGCCCGAGTACTGTAGAATAACTCGTGAGTTGTACACTCCTGGAAGACAGCCACCACACAAGGCACAGTGCTGGAACCATCACTGGAGTCAGAGCATACGACCTCTGCCTCTAGCATCAGCCTCAGAACTGAGGTGTGGATGGCCAACATGGGGGTCTGGGGCTCCCTCTTCCCCAGGAGGGGAAGGGGGGAGCTGCGCAGACAGCGGTGCAGCGACGTGTTACGTCACGCTCGTTTGCTTGTTTCTGTTTGGGGAGTTCTATCCACTTGTTCGGCTTTTTGTAGCCCTTTTCACCAGAATAGGAGTTTGTTTTAGGACGCTTACCTTTCTGGGTGCCTGACTCGGTCGATGGCAGACATAGAATGCTTCCAACCACACGGGGGTTTCTATAGGACATAGCACCCCATGCCTCTCTGAGGGGGGCCAGGTTCTGGCTCGTGGTCCTCGGTAGGCTCACAGAACTCCATACACAAGACTGATGCCAAAGTCTGACATTTGCATATCAGCCTGCATAGCTTCGGAAAGCCGTAGGGGCTCTCCCTAGAAAAACCTTTCATATATAAAAATATTTTAAAATTGTCATGGGGTAACATTACTCTATAGTACTTGAGGGGGAACAGACTTCAATATTTATCCTGAGTTTACCCCAACCACTGGTATATGTAGCTACTCTCTCAAGGACAGAAAGCCTGTGGCTTATGACTCTCCCCTTTCTTAATCTCAACACTGTTATACAATGAATGACAATTTCCTCAATTTGTTTTCTTACCATGACTTTTTATTTTGTTTTGCTTCTAATTTTCCACATATGTACGGCAAGGCAACCTTAATACCTTTCCATAAACTTTTGTTTTTCCGCATAAATCCATTTCCTTATGTAACAGCTCAACTGCCATATGTCAGTTTTCAAAAATTATTTCAAGAACATCTAAACAAATCTTTAATACTAGGAGGCAGTTGCAACATCTAAGGAACTTCTACATTAAAACATTATTAACATTGAATCCTTATTGAAGACTACATTAATTATTAAATATCCTGACCTGTTCAGTGTCCTTATTGAAGACAGTAGCATTTTTATCACTGCCACCAGTGACTATTTTGCTGGTGTCTTTCTGATGCACATCCACAGCCAAGATACCAGGTACTGATGCACTGTGTAAGCCCTGAAAAAACAAGATTCATTAGGCCAATCAATTTGAATGTTAAAAATAATTAGATAGCTTCTTTAGAACAATTGCTTATTTCAGCCCTCAAGTCTTCCCTCAGATCACCACTGGTGTCAGAGAAATAAATAATGAATGCTGTACAAACACAGCTATTCAGACAGATACACAGTCAAGACAGCCCACACACACACACACACACACATTGTACCATTTTTATAGCTGTTGCTCTTAACCACTGCAAAAATATTTTTTCTTAAAAACCATTACTTCTAGTTCATCCCAATAGTTCTTACAACTAATGTATTGTCATACAAGAATTACTTTCATAATATAAATTTTACTGCACTCATTATACATAGGTCACTCAGGAGACTTTCCTTAGGAGCCACTAACACTAATCGAACTTTTGATGACCTTTGAAGACTTAGCAAATGCACAGTACCAGAAGCTGATGCTTTTGGTCAGAGGCAAGGGAAGATTAAGTAATGAAAAGCCCCCTTGTGCACAATCCTCAGTGGATCCCCCATTCCTGCCCTTTTGTTCCCTTCTCCCCCCACAGAGTTCAGGTTTTGAATATTATTGCTCGCAAGTGAGGGGTCTCTCTGACTGGTAACCCTCATGCTGATCTGAGTGACCCTGGTCGACCCTGGTGACCCTGATCTGAGGCGGCCTGGTCGACGACCGGGTCGCAGGGGTTGCTAAGCCCCGAAATCACCTCAAGGTAAGGACCCTGAGTGGTCAACTGGTAGTGATCATGAGATGTTGGTGCAAGGGTTTTACCCATGTATCATGTTCAGAGGGTCTCGGTAGTACACTCAGGTTCGTTCTCAACCCGCAATTGAGAATTCCGGGTTCAAATCCGAGTAGGACAGAAATGATTGGGCACGTTTCCTATTACCTAATGCCCCCTGTCCACCTAGCAGTATATAGGTTCCCAGGAGTCAGCTTGTTGTGGGGGTTGCGTCCTGAAGAGGGTCAGTAATTTGACCCTGGAGGGGAACTTGATATAAGCCTAAATGTATGTATATACTTGCTGCCTGTCCCTCGACACAATGAATTATTAAATTATTATATGTCTATCAGTAACACCATTTTGATTGGTCTCTCTCTTCAAAATGGTTTAAGTGGCATTCTAACTTTCTATGGGATTCGCTCTAATATAGATGATTTTAGACATCTGCCTTGCTTCTGTTAGGATACCAGATGACCTTCAAAAGTTGTCAAGAGGCCTGAATGTTATTAATTTAACATATCTAATGAACCAGTGCATTTAGCTAATGGGAGCCAATAAAGGTTCTGTATAGAAAGAAACATTTCATTACATTCAATGCTCGGTTTTTCAATCTAGTGGAAGTTAGTGACCTTAACTTATCTAGATTAAAAAATCTGATCTACATACCATCTGCTTAACCTAAACCCATTATTCGTTTTTCTTAATTAATTAATATGTATTTATTTATTTGTTTAACTTTTCCACTATGGTAAGAATTATAGTATTAAAACAAAATCATTTAAGATGAAATTATAGTACAGTAATTATAATTTATAAACTAATTACAGTACTTAACAAGAAAAACTGTCAAACTTCATTCAGGCTATCTACAACATAAATGGGTTATGAGGAACCTAATATGCAATTACTTACAGGGTGAGAAGCTAGGGTGGTGAAACCTCGTATCTGCTCTGCTGGAGTGAGTCCCTCAGGGACTGTACGACCACGTCGCTTACGTTCCTGTGTCAGGACAGTAGCAGTATCCTGCAAGCGGGCCACCACCTCCTCGGTCAAGCCTGCACCTTCGCTTGGCACATCCGCAGCTCCACCAGCTTCTGCTGTGGCAGCCTGTTGGGTATCCATTGAAGTCATTTTAAAATGTATAATCACTACAAGAATTCTAAAATTATAAATTATAGATTATATGGAAAAACATAAAAGTTAATCTTTCATTAATTGTTATCAATGTTGGTTTTGAGAGAATGTATTACTAGCTATCTTAAATGTGTGATGGAGAGTGCACACCACCATTTTTAATCCTCACTGAGTGCACAGAATACATGCACCGAGTCTTGTTTTTTTGTTTCAAAACTTGACCCTGCCTTGTTGGGTATCTGGTGACAGCTCTCATCATCAGGATTCCATAGGTATCATGTTGGCTGATGTAGGTACAGTACATGCATTCAGGAATTACAGTAAGGTATAATATGTATTACAGCTCAAAACTTTAGGGGAGGAAATTACTGTATCCAGTTTTAGTGTTTCGCGGTACTTTTGGAGAGTTGTTGTCGGAAAGGTCAAGACCCTTCCAACTGCCAGTTAACAAACAGGCCTGGTCTTATGATGCCACGGCATTGCACCATCCTAAGGGAACATTCCTATTGGTAGTGGCAGCAGTGCCTACCATGCCATTGGTCCATTTCAAAAGAACAAGGAGGCAGTGTGTGAGGCTGCCAGTGTAGGCCGCCTCACGCTGTCTAGAGCTTTCTGAAGTCGAGTTCATCAGTGTAGGACGTGAAAGATTTGTACTATTGTCCAACGGTCTAGATCTCCGTTAATGTGACGTTAATCCATATCTCATTATTACCAATTTCATCTCGCACACCAACCTACAGAGTCTAGTCTCACGAGGATTGAAATTAACGATATACGTGTGATAAGATGTAAGAGAAAGCCTGCACTACCATGTGAGTTTACCTGCAGATGCAACAGACTGCCAAGTGTTCATCAGCTTTCATCGCGACATCTGTGAGCCTATTGCTACTAAAGTAATCTAAAGTGGATAAGCATTGATCTCACAGTGTGCTGTCAATTGCTCCAAATGAGATAACTGTATTTTTAACATGAGATAACTGTACGTTTCTAGAATTCACAAAATAATTTTTTTTTGCTTAGTAAATAACTTAAAAGAATGGTACACACACAGAAATCACAATAACGTGATGCATCAATGAACAAATCCACAAGGGCCGTGACGAGGATTCGAACCTACGTCTGTGAGCATCCCAGACGTAGGTTCGAATCCTCGTCACGGCCCTTGTGGATTTGTTTTAAAAGAATGGTGTTATATAATCTTTATGGTGAGGTCAAGTGCTGCAACCACCAGATGGAAGTACACAGTGGTGTTCGAAAGCCTTTTTAATGGTGTAGGATTATTGTCAAATGTCCCAGAACTTTTATACAGATATTTTTCTATTAAATTTGGCTAAAGCTGAATGTAGCAGAAAAGCAGAAATTTTTGCTGCTCGACTAAAGTTGAATGTTGCAACCAAAGAGTTTAAGCTACAGAAAAAAAATATGAGATACAGTATAGCTATATTTCTTGTACATACTGTATTAATAAATATCTTTTCTTTATATTTACATTATCATCCGAGGCAACCCTATACAGTGGGATGTCATTAGAATATGATACAGCATAAATCATGCAGTATCATAAAATATGACACAGCATAAGTCATGCTGTATCAATTTTTGTTATTTTTAGCCTAAATAGAGTAGATAAATTAGCTATTTTGCATAATTTAGAAATGTATTTAACATTTAAAATTTGTAACAAAATACTGATATTTGACACAGCAAAAATATTATGTTGTCTAAGGCTGCTAAAGCAAAATACAGAACAAAAGGAAATAATGCGCCAACTTACAATGGTAGGTCCAGCTGGGGCAGCTGGTGCAATGCCAGCTTGTGGTTTGAGTGTTGCCAGAGCCTCACGAGCAGCAGTTACTTCCTTGTTAAGACGTGCAATTACACGTGTGGCTGCATCATGCTGATACAGAGCGTGGCTATGGGAAGGAAGAATAAATTGTACTGTTGTTCTTAAGGTTTATCTATACAATATATTTTGACATTATTCTTAGAGCAAAATTTGACATCAGAACTGTTACCTATATCATTAAATTGGAAAAGCAAACTCTCACAAGTCAAGCCTGGCCTCGGGCCGGGCTTGGGGAGTAGAACTCCCAGAACCCCATCAACCAGGTATCAACCAGGTAACCAGGCAATGTTTATGTCAGAGAGTTTATAAGAATGAGGAATAGAGGAATAACCCAGCAGTTTTGTGTTTTCAGCATCATGAACATAAACAAGCACAAACTGGCCAAGCTCATGTATTACTTCCTTAATTCCACCTCCTGTAAGCAGGGATGGAAGAGAAGCTACCAAACTACTGTGCTGTAGTTTAGTAGCTAATGTACCAAAATGTACATTAGTAATACATTGATGTACAAGTAAATACAGTAATACAAAAGTGTTGAGCCAATTGAAAAACAATGCCACTGTGCTTAGTTCTCATGACCTCCCAAAAGCCTGACGGGTATGTTTCCTAGTTGTCTTATCAGGAATAAAGATAGGGGATGGGAAACAATGGCAAGTCTTATCTCAGGGAAAAAAAAGTTACAAGGACTTAACTTAGTGGTACGGTTATGTTGGTCCAAACATAACAAGGAATTTCAGCTTAGAAAGAACTAATAAAGAAGTATCTAACTGTTACATTTTCCAAATATTAATATAGGAACAAATAGAAACTACATAAGTTAGTAATAGACATAAGACAATGTGGGGTGATTAGTTTTTGGCAGAGATAAAATGAGTTAGATGGATGGCCTCATTATAAATACCTGTAAATGAATTGGCAAGGGAGACATACCATACTATTCTTGTACCAAACACACACTACAGATGTTGTTTGCAAAATTATGGAGAATCCTATGCATTAGGGACATTTTTATGATGAAATAATTCAAGTACATGGTGGCACTTATTTGAACTGGCAAATCACATTGGCATGCAATGTAGAACACTTTGATGCCCTCTAGTGTTACAAAGGAATATCATCACACAATTTATTGTAATGTTCATGTATGGAATATAGGAATATAATGACCATGTTCCACCTAATTCCTCTTAAAACTGCAGAAAGATATAAGGCAATAACATAGGAGGTTGAACCTTAGTTCCTGGCGAGCTGTCTGAAGCTGTTGGCGGAGGGTGAAGGAATGAAGCATCACAGCATCCCACTCATCTTGGAGTGCCTTTAAGATAGCTGGAATACTTGTAGCACTTGGAGGCTTTGGCTTAGCCACTGGTGGAACTGTAATAGATTCCACATGTTAAATTAAATTCATTGTTCATTCAATTATTTATGACTAATATACCAGTCTCATTTATTTTAGTAAAGAATCTTCATTACATATAATCGATAGAAAAGAATGCCTGTAATAAATTATTGATAAAACAAAATGTCAATACTCAAAATGAAGACTCAATTATTTGACCACATAAAACAAACCTTGTATAGCATAAATATAGTAATGGGACCCAACAGGTGTGATCTCCAATGAGAGCAATTCCGTAATTATATTATTCATATTGTGGTTTAAATAATTTTCCACTTAAAAGTAGTTTACTATATTGCAATGGAAAAAAAAAATTACACATACCTTTTAGTTCAATTAATTGGTCTACTGTAAGTTCTTTGTTGGTAATAGGATCAGTGCCATTCTCTGCGATGTATTTTTCAAGTAAGCGTCGTTCAAAGACAGCACCTGACAGTGGTGACACCACTGGCTGGTCTGGCACTTCACTGCTGACTACAAAAAGATTGGAACTTAAATCAAATGAAAGTTATTATTCCTAACAAATTTAATTAGGGTGCACAAATGCATAAGCCTAAGCAAAGCATATATGATTTTAAGTGATTATATATTACCGGTATATTAATACTGTATTATTAGAACCTAATTAATAACTGCAATAGAACTCTTGCATGAATATTTGCCTGGTCCTTGGGTATACCGACTCCCAGACTCAACACAAGGTCAGGTAAATGCTCAGTAATTCTGATCATATGGCGTCCACCCCGATTCGAGTTAGTTAACCTTTTTAATTGGAGCATATGAAAAGGAACAGAATCCAATTTATTCAGGGTCTTCATTTAGCAGCAATCTCAGTAATCCAAATTTTCATGAGGAGGCAGCAGGGAAGGAGGTATTCCAGGCACCAGGATTCCCAAGCCCCACACTCATATGGAATCCCAGGCAGCAAGGCCCCACTCAAATAGTATTCCAGGCACCATAGGGCCTATCCTAAACAGTATCCAAGACACAAGAGGCCCCCACACACACAAATAGTATCCCAAGCACCAGAGGGCCCTTCTCAAGTAGTATTCTAGGCACCAGAGGTCCCCATTTAAGTAGTATCCCAGGCACCAGAGGCCCCCACTCAAGTAGTATCCCAGGCACCAGAGGCCCCAACTCAAGTAGTATCCCAGGCACCAGAGGCCCCCACTCAAGTAGTATCCCAGGCACCAGAGGCCCACTCAAGTAGTATCCCAGGCACCAGAGGCCCACTCAAGTAGTATCCCAGGCACCAGAGGCCCCCACTCAAGTAGTATCCCAGGCACCAGAGGCCCACTCAAGTAGTATCCCAGGCACCAGAGGCCTACTCAAGTAGTATCCCAGGCACCAGAGGCCCACTCAAGTAGTATCCCAGGCACCAGAGGCCCCCACTCAAGTAGTATCCCAGGCACCAGAGGCCCCCACTCAAGTAGTATCCCAGGCACCAGAGGCCCACTCAAGTAGTATTCCAGGCACCAGAGGCCTACTCAAGTAGTATCCCAGGCACCAGAGGCCCACTCAAGTAGTATCCCAGGCATCACAGGCACCAATACTGGGATACTCAAGTAGTATCCCAGGCACCAGAGGCCCCCCACTTAAAATAGTGGTGGGGGGGGGGGGGCTTACAAATTCCTGACTTACAAACCTGTTCACATTTTTGGAAACAATAACCAGCTACTCAGACAAAGGACTTCTGGTCGATGTAATATACTGTATATGGATTTTGCTAAAGCTTTTGATAAGAGTACCACATGAAAGACTTGCAAGGAAATTACAGGCACATAGAATAAATGGTGGAATACTAGAATGGATAAAGCAAAGGTTAAAATAAAGAAAGCAGAGAGTTGTACTAAATGAGAATGAATCTGACTGGAGAAATGTGACGAGTGTGGTAGTACAGGGGTCCATTTTGGGACCAACTCTTATTGACATATACATCAATGACACAGATGAGAATATATAAACCACATCATCAAATTTGCAGATGAAAATGATATTGAAGTCATACAAAGAGATCTACATGAACTCCACAAATGGTCAGAAGACTGGCAAATGCCTTTTAATATACAAAAATGCAAGACTTTGCATGTGGGTCATAACAACCCATGTCACAAATGCCAAATTAATAATATTACCTAGCAGCAGATTGCTGAAAGAAAGGACCTTGGAGTCAAAATCCACCATTCACTAAAAGTTGCATAACAGGTAGGAGCAGCAGTAAAAAAATTTAACCAAACCCTAGGAATAATCAAGTATACCTTTGACTTTAAGGAAAAAAGAGGCGGTGATTTATCTGTATAAATCTCTGGTGCGCCCCCCACCTGGGCTATTGTATCCAAGCATGGAGACCTCAACTTCAGGACATAGCTGCTCTAGAGAAAGTACAACATCAGGCAACAAAATCTTTCCAGAACTCGGTCAACTCACATACCAGTAACAACTGAGGGCCACAGGGTTAAGAACACTGCAAACAAGACATGACAGGGCAGATCTCATTGAAACCTTGAAAATACTGAACTATTTGGAGGATGTTGATTCAGACAATTTCTTCAAAAAGGTTAGATATAACACAAAGAGCAGTGGCTTCAAGCTCAACAAGCTACAGTGTAGGACTGAGAACAGGAGATGCTTTTTCACCTACAGGATCATAAACCCATGGAACCGCCTACCCACTGAAGCCATAAATGCCAAAACTCTCTTAAATTTTAAAATCCAGCTGAAAAAAATCATTAGGGCAAATGGGGGGGGGGGCCTTTGGTAAGCCACCGGTTTCCTGTCTTTATGAAGGCCACTAATGTGTTAATGGCCCTAAGGTAAATTCAGGTAAACAGTATCCCAGGCACCAGAGGCCCCCCACTTAAGAGGTGTCCCAGGCACAAGAGGCCCCCACTCATGGGGTGTCCCAGGCACCAGAGGCCCCCACTCAAGTAGTATCCCAGGCACCAGAGACCCCCACTCAAGTAGTATCCCAGGCACCAGAGACCCCCACTCAAGTAGTATCCCAGGCACCAGAGACCCCCACTCAAGTAGTATCCCAGGCACCAGAGACCCCAACTCAAGGGGTGTCCCAGGAATCATAGGCCAATACTCAAGAAGTATCCAGGGCACCAAGGCACTGAGGTCCCACTAATGTTGTGTCGCGGGTATTTGGTTTCTAATAATAACACAATGATCCACGACGGTCACTTAGCCACACAAAAGACGGTAGCTTTGGGGGATAATAATTTCACGTGAAGCAGCCAGCGAGTCGGTCAGTGCCGCGCTCATGTCTACCTTCATTTTACCCTCAACTTGAGTCTTGGCGAAGATGAAGACATGCTTGACCAATTCAGAAGTTACTGCTTGTGCTGCTGGAAACACACAAAATAATAATATTCTGTACTTGCATGGGAAATTTGATTTTAAATTGTCACTTACTTGCGCATATGAGAGACATGTTTTGTTTATGTGGTCAAGCGAGACTTTATTAGTGTATTGAAATAAATATTCTGCCGGTAGAAAATAATAAAACCACAACTTAATTCGGCGCTGAAATAAAAATAAAACATGTAATATGTACTTAATTATTATCGAATATTTATTAATTATATTTTGATATAAATCACATGATATTTGAAATTAGATAGCAGCTCACTTTCCCTTACCATCATAATCCAATAGATAAGACGATAATTTTGTCAACCCATATTTGTTCATATAATAGGTAGCGTATTGGGTAAAGAGGACAAGAGATATATATGAGCTGAGGTAAGGACACGTTACAGGCAGCCAGTGTGTAGCGAGGCATCATGGCGGGAACTCCTCTCCGCGCTCTCCTCCTCCTCCTCCTAGTGGGCCTCTACCCTGCTGCAGGCGAGGACCTCCAGGAGAAGGACGTGGCCAAGGCCAGGGTCGAGGTAATGTACACTACTAGCCTCATACAATCAATTGGTCATGAACTGAGACAGGGAGAAGAGCTAGGTGGCTTAGGTCAGTATATCGGGGCTGGCGTTCCTATAGTCTGCCTTGCTCTTCACAGTAAAGTTAATAAAGAATTAATTTGGAAATATATTTATAATTATTGACATAATTTTAGTCAAACTTTTACATTAAACTGATGAACGATCATTAATTACCAGTGTTTTTAATTCTACAGTTTTTTTTACAAAAACTAATATTTTACAAAATATATTTTAATTCAACAATTCGGTATGATGGCCAATTAATTTTGGCCTTTTCCCATCCCTATGATCCATAAATGTTCACTTCTCTCTGGTTGTAGTTAGTGATTACATGTGTCATGTGTCACTGTTGACGTGGTATTGTATTTAGGATACTGTAGTACTGTATTAGATATAATTTAGTCCTGCATCTTGTATCCACTATTGTTGCTGACTTGGCGAGGTGGGGAAGGTGTTAAACACGCAGGTGTTGGCTCCCAGCGGTACTGTCAAGGCGAGCAGGTGTTGGTTCCCAGCTCCAGGCTACGTGGCGAGCAGGTGTTGGCTCCCAGCTCCAGGCTACGTGGCGAGCAGGTGTTGGCTCCCAGCTCCAGGCTACGTGGCGAGCAGGTGTTGGCTCCCAGCTCCAGGCTACGTGGCGAGCAGGTGTTGGCTCCCAGCTCCAGGCTACGTGGCGAGCAGGTGTTGGCTCCCAGCTCCAGGCTACGTGGCGAGCAGGTGTTGGCTCCCAGCTCCAGGCTACGTGGCGAGCAGGTGTTGGCTCCCAGCTCCAGGCTACGTGGCGAGCACGTGTTGGCTCCCAGCTCCAGGCTACGTGGCGAGCAGGTGTTGGCTCCCAGCTCCAGGCTACGTGGCGAGCAGGTGTTGGCTCCCAGCTCCAGGCTACGTGGCGAGCAGGTGTTGGCTCCCAGCTCCAGGCTACGTGGCGAGCAGGTGTTGGCTCCCAGCTCCAGGCTACGTGGCGAGCAGGTGTTGGCTCCCAGCTCCAGGCTACGTGGCGAGCAGGTGTTGGCTCCCAGCTCCAGGCTACGTGGCGAGCAGGTGTTGGCTCCCAGCTCCAGGCTACGTGGCGAGCAGGTGTTGGCTCCCAGCTCCAGGCTATGTGGCGAGCAGGTGTTGGCTCCCAGCTCCAAGAGCCTGGATACAGGGGAGATACCAGCAGCACTTAAATCTGCAGATATAGCTGCACTGCACAAGGGGGGTAGTAAAGCTTTGGCAAAAAATTATAGACCAGTTCTACTAACATCACACATAATAAGTTTTTGAAAGTGATTAGGCATCAAATTTCTAGTTTTATGGAAAATAATGAGCTACACAACCCAGGACAACATGGATTTAGAGCAGGAAGATCCTGTCAGTTACTCAACCACTATGACAACTTGGGGGTAAGACCACCTTGGGGAGTAGAAGAACTCCCAGAACCCCATCAAGCAGGCTATGTGGTGAGGCAAGCAGGTGTTGGCTCCACGCTACGTGGCGAGTTAGGCGAGCAGGTGCTGGGTTTCAAGGCCTGCATTAACTTGCTGTAATCGGCAGCATATGCAAGGTTAACAAACGTATTGAATTTATAAATTGTATACACTGACAAGTTGGACCTTTCCTGCAGCTCCAGCTCACTCTTTGTATAGTATCTAGTCACACCCAGACCAAACTTGGAGAAGGTCCCATGGTATACAACCAGAAAAGTTTTGGAACAAAGAGACATGAATTATGGGGATAGGCTAATATAATGTATTATCCCGTAACTTAGACCAGCGACTTAGGGGAGACATGATTACCATATACACAATTCTCAAGGTAATAAATGGGGCAGACAAGGACAGAGTATTTGGATGGGTGGTGCAGAAACTATATATTGTTTCCACCACCGAAGTACCCAGTCGAGTTGAGACAATAGAAAAAATGTAAGCGAAAGAGCTCGCTCAAGGAAACAGAATTCTGAATCTTGTGCAAATACCAGAAGAGGGCATGATCAATCAAATTCAGGCAGGGGAAAGCTCACCCCTTCGTGTGATCGCAAGTATGTACTGTAATTACAATTATTGGAACACATTTAAAGATCCAGGATGATTAGATTACCCTTGAGGTGACTATCAAGGAATGGCAAAACACCTGGAGAGAGCTAAAGGGTGATTATGACATGGAAACCTCTTCAGAAAATGTTGGAAAAAAAGTCATCACTGAACTCTTTTAAAAAATGTATCGAGAGAGCGCACTTTACAGCCTTTTACACAGGCTGTAAAAGAAGTTGACAGATGTTCATATTTAAATAAACACCTGTTGAGTCACTATTGGCCAGTGGGGTGGAAATAAGTTTAGTACAGCTGCAAATGAATTATGAATGAAATTTTCCCCCACTTGGTAACGTTATAGAGCTTCACTAACTCTTAATAGGAGTAGCGCTGAAGGATGTGATGTCTGCACTCGCATGCCCTCTGTTGAGGCGTCTCCTCTTCTGTGACTGCAGCTTATGTCTTGTTATATACCTCTGGAAAATTATTTGAAACGTGCACATTAGTATCTCCAGATATTCTCTTTGTGAATGTTCTTTACAAGCTGATTTCTTTCCATATATAACTGGCCTAACCTACACTATTAACCTGTTGGATTATGGTGAGTGCCTTTATTAGGAAAGCCAAAACTACCAATTCTATCTTTCACTTCATGATATACTGGATAATCCCTATTCTTTACCTTGGTAATAATGTGCTATTTATTTTTTCCAGAGCTGTGGTGGATGACGACTGAATAGGCTCCCCGAGGTGAAGAAATTCATCCACGAGGACATTCCCTTATTGTATCCTTTTAATTCTTAATTTCTGTGTACAGTACAATGAAAACTACTTCATTAAGGCACTTTGTTTAGTTTTATTAATTCATACTGTTAAAAAAACTCCCTTAACATACAGTACTACAGTACTGTGTATGTGAAGGGAATCTCTTTAGATATTTATTCGGCACATTGGTTCTGTCTGGTAGCTGTATTTTTAATGTTTGCAAATCACCACAATGGTGCTTCAAATGCTAAATTTGTAAGAGACTTCCTGACTTCCAGGACGAGCGTGTCTTGCTTTCCGACCGCCCCTCGCGGTCGCCTGTCCCTCAATGGAATTCTTGGTGACTCGGATACTTTTGATATCGTTCGCCTTATGCGTTTTTGTTCTCGTATTGGCATCCTTGGTGATATTTAGCGCCCTCAGATTATTCCGCACATTTGATGCTGCTACATAGCCTTCCCGGTTTGGTGCCTTCTTTTGATAATTACTTACTTGTAAGAGACTTGAAGCATTCTCCCATTTTAGTGGTCAACCCTTAAACTGTTAAATAGCAAACATCCCCAGGACGCTCGAGAAAAAATTGTTCCGAAAAAAATATAATTTTTTCTTATGACATTGTTAATTAGCCTTCAGGAAGCACAAAAATCCAAATAAAAAGTCTGTAGCTCTTGTGGTTTAGCTGTAGTGGCCTGGAGAAGTTGCATAGTTTTAGTTGAGCTGCTGCATAGGAATAACTGTTGATTTACTGTATTTTCATTGTTTCTCAATTTATTAATTTAGTCTTTTCATGCTAACAGGTTGTATTTGTATGTCAAAGTTACTGTCTGTTATGTAAAACTTTGAAAATATAAGTATGTATGGATATACAAGTAAAGATATAAAGACACCTACATACTTGTTCATAAAAATACATGTATAAATATATTTTAAGCCTAAATCTTAAAATAGCATATAGCACACATTTTGCCTCGAATATATACATGGTAATCACTCATTTGCTGTTGCTAAAAGTTTAGTGTCTCCTCCATGGCTGTCCTAAACATTCAGATACTGGATGGTGAAGTTGCCCAGCAATGGTCATCATTTTCTTACAAAGGCCCTAGAAGGAAAGTGAGGGACTCAGGATTTTTTTCAAGATGGTGGATGGTTACTGGTGGTCTGAGGAAGCAGATGTGAGCTCTTATGTATGTGTAGGACTATTTTAACTATTTTAAATATGCAAATCATATATATATGATTTGCGTCGTTTTGTGACAGTTACTCAAATCATATATGTATGATTTGCGCTGTTTAAGGGCTAAACTTTAAATTGATCATCAACACTCAATGCTTCAATGTCAAATAAAATACCAAGACAGTAATGTTATAAGTTTGAATCCTTTACTAAAGATCAGTCATAATGTAAGGTACAAGCCTATTGGTGGTGCTCCCCCAGAGCTGGTCCTTCTCAACAAACTTGATCAGGTTAGTTTTCTTGCATATCATGCAGTATACATAAACTAAGATTGGTATGATAATTATAAGGTATTGTATAGAGTAATATATAAACATAAAAAAACACGAAACTGCAGGTCTGTTATTCAATGCGAAACAGCTTTTGTATGTATCTAACCAAAGTCATTCATTCATACATGTTCATGTGGCATTTGTATTTGCATATTTAAATACCCTGTACATACAATCTACATTTTAGACATTCCAGCCATCCCATACCTAGTATAACAACCAGTTATTTGTTCCTTAAACAGAATACTATTTAGTGACTAGTCTTTATAAAAATATTACTTAAATCAACGTCTAAAGTTTGTACCTATTTAGTGTTCTGCTTTGTGCTAATATATTCTGTACCCTTTTATCTATGCTTATTATATGTGCATATTTGTATACAGTACTTCCATCCTGGTCCATTTCCTCTTTGCCTTTCTCAATTCTAAATTTAATAAATTAAATTGAATATTGAGTTTTTTTAATTGATATAAATTATTTTTTAATATATTTGCCGTTTCTAATTCCTGGAGTTTTGTGATCTGAATTATAATGTGGAAATAGGTCCCGAGTGATATCCTGTTAGCAATGATGTCCCAGGAATAAGTGACAGTAGATTGATACTTTCCTTTTATTATAAGTCCCTCAGTGGGCTATTACAAGTCCTACCTTCCTTCCTTGAGGTTACCTTGAGGTGCTTCCGGGGCTTAGCGTCCCCGCGGCCCGGTCGTCGACCAGGCCTCCTGGTTGCCGGACTGATCAACCAGGCTGTTGGACGCGGCTGCTCGCAGCCTGACGTATGAGTCACAGCCTGGTTGATCAGGTATCCTTTGGAGGTGCTTATCCAGTTCTCTCTTGAACACTGTGAGGGGTCGCCCTCGTGGAAATATCATAACCCCTATGTAAAAAAAATTGCAATTATGGGTGGGGGCTGGGAAAGTGACAACTCTCCCTAAAAAGCACATGTACACTGTATATTGGTGAACTGTGCGGTATATATTGTGATTAGAGAGCTACGTGTAAGAATGATTACATGGGTGTGAACCTAGTACAGTATATTGTCATAATGGGTGCTAAATGTAAGAATGATGTACACTAGGTTTACACCCATGTAATGTCCAATGAGAGTATCAGTACTAAAATGTCAACTTTGATAAATGCAAACTACAGTACTGTAATTTATTTTGCAGTGTTGACATTGGAAATTTTATTGTGCGAAAGTAAACTTGTGAATATGGACAAGTTATGGTGGTGGTGTAGAGGAACTTGTGAAATGTGAATGCTGAAGTGGTTGTGTCAGTATTGATGGTGTTGAAGCAGGTAAGGAAACTTGCTAGTGCATAAAGGTGTGCTGGCTCATTTGTGTGGATGAGACTCGAGTGGTAAATATAAGAAAATAGAGCAGTAGAAATTGACAATTTGAAATTTGTGTGGTTGTTAGGGGGATGTAAGGAAGTGTTGTAGTGTGCCAGTCAGTAAGCATCAAGAATAAGGAAAGCATAGCTAATTTGGGCGTGTTGAATGAATGGTATTAATGGTGTATTCCTGTAGTAAACAAGGGTGGGCAAACATGAAGTGGAAGGGGGAAAGCTTACACAGAATATGTTGACCAGACCGAAACGTCGTTGTCCCTTCAACTTCTAGTGTGTGGTCTGGTCAACATACTTCAGCCACGTTATTGTGACTCTTCGCCGCTTACACAGAATACTGTATGCTAAGGGACAAGGCACAGTTAAGGGAGGGAATGTATTTTGTAATGTATGTTAATTCATGAAGCTGTTGATTGCTATTTTTTATCATACTAGTATGTATTTTTGTGCTTGAAGTTATAATATTTCTTTAAATTCCAACACTTGTTTCTTGGCTAATGTCTCAACATCCCATAAAAGTCACAGAACAAAATTAAAAGTAGAAATCTGAACTATTGAGTTGGACAAACTGGAAAACTGTTTTATTCCTTGTGTTGTTTTGACACACTAACCTAACCTTCCTAGGCCTAATACACAATATGAGGCCCAATATAGTACATGTGCTATGCTAGGCCTCTTGAGGTTATCTTGAGATGATTTCGGGGCTTTAGTGTCCCCGCGGCCCGGTCCTCGACCAGGCCTCCACCCCCAGGAAGCAGCCCGTGACAGCTGACTAAACTCCCAGGTACCTATTTACTGCTAGGTAACGGGCATTCAGGGTGAAAGAAACTTTGCCCATTTGTTTCTGCCTCGTGCGGGAATCGAACCCGCGCCACAGAATTACGAGTCCTGCGCGCTATCCACCAGGCTACGAGGCCCCTGTGGCATATTCAAGTTTGTGTATTATCTTCATTTATTTTAAAAGAATTTCTTGCTCGTTAGTATACTACTGTCTAAAAGCTAATTCCGTACGAATTTGTGACTCGACGACCGTCACAATAGGTGTTATCAATACGGGAGGATGGGTTGTTATAAGCTAATACTATTTGCCAAGTTTTAAATAAGGAATTTAATTGGGTTGGAATTTTAATTTTGTTAATTGTATTCAAAGGAAGTGGAACGCATTCCTCTTGAGAAATTTAATCGTGAGGAATGTAACCAGTTGCTGCTGAAGAAAGGTTTCTACAAGAAGACAAAACAAGATGAAGTAGTACCAGAACAGTACCTGGAAGGCCCATACAGGGAAAGGGAAGAACTCTAGATGGATTTAATCACTTAATGTTATTTTGAAAGTAAATTAGTTGTGTGGCATTTTGTAAAATAAGTTAAGTCTCAAAATATAGTTCAAATTTTCTTGGCATTTCGGACAGCTGATTAACAATTTATATATTTCAGGCAGTGCAGATTGAACAATATTATGAACCTAATATGAAGGGGGTGGTGTAAAGGACTTAATTGTTCTTGCTGCTCTTGGAAGCAACTAAGGTTCAAGTATTGTTTGAGCATATTGTTCTTGTGAATTCCGAGTTTTGTAGTTTTAATAAAGTAAAAAAAAACTAGATAAGCATTTTTAATCTAATTATACCTGGTATTGCATGTAAATTATTGAGCTCTTCAAAGTTCCAGGTAATATTGAAGATGGCTTAGATGACTACAAATGTGAACTCTTTACTACCTGATCCTCCTCTTGCAGATTAATATAGTGATTTCTCTTGCTTACACTACTATAAGTGTGCTCTGGATCTTAATTTAAGTTACTGGTACTGAACACTAAAAATGGAGGCAATCGGTAAGCAAAGCAGAGGTGTCCCAGTCCCCAGATCAACAGTTTGTTTTACATTAGCATATTGTGCATATTTAGCCATTGCTTAGGTTAGGCTCCGTTGATTATTTATATTTATAGTGGGTGAAGCCATTGGTGTTGTGGTTTGAACAAGTCGTCAGAGAAGCACTTGTTCCAGAAGAGTTCAGACATCATCAGTTGAGTCACGTGTAAACCGTTTAGCACTCGCCCGGCGCTCTGCGAGTGCTTTGGCCTGGGTTCGTATCCTGGCCGGAGAGGATTGACTGAGCGCCAATCCTTAACTGTAGCCTCTGTTCACCCTGCAGTAAATGAGAACCTGGTAAATGATTTGGCATGTCGTATTCTGGGGAAAATTAGGACTAAGGACCTGCCTGAAATGCTATGAGTGCTAGTGAGTGGCTTTACAAGAATGTAAGAACTCTTGTACCAAAAAAAAAAATACTGCATTTAAGAGTTCTAATGATGATTAATTGCCCAAGTTTACTTGCACTAATTTCACTTGGGCCAAATGTCCCACTTGGACATGCCTGGTGCTACATAGTTTTCCTGGTATGGTGCTTTCGATAATTACTTAGATGTGCTTTCACATGCCATGCTGCCTTGAGAACTGTTGGTCCCACCCTCATTATATAGGCAAGACAACAACATCCCTTTAAAGGTGAGCCAATATGTACCCTTTGTACATATAGTAATTCAGAAATAAATTTATAACATGTTCTAGAAATGTTTCTTTCATTAAAAATTATAATAATGTGAAATACATGCAGAGAAATGCTAAAATTGTTAATTAGTTTAAATACTAAAGATGTGTGATTAATAAAATAGGAATTTGTGCAAGCAAAATCTAGAAAAGCGCAAGTCAAAATAGAAAATGGATGATGCAAATATAACCCTCATAGAAAAAAAAAATAAGATACAGCTAGAAATTGAAATAAGTTTATTGAGGTAAAATACACAAAAGGATGAGGTAGCTCAAGCTATTCTCACTGTTAATGATGCAGCTAGAGGTGGACAGAAGAATGGTAGTGCCCACCATTAAGTATGGATGCAAGATATGGACAATCTTAGATGTATTTATGTATGTTGCTTAAAAAATTGTCTTTGATAGAAGTAGAATGAAAAAGTCCACAAATCACGAATGTACCAAGATGGCTTGGATAGGCAAGTAAAGTGCAGGAAGGATACGGGTGGACATGGTGAGCGAGGGATTGGATATGAACAATGCACAAGGTATCTTAAGGGTCAAAACTGGGTGGTTGCAGTTTGTTTGGAATAAATATTTGCATGTACAGTACTGCATATAACTTACAAGGAGCATTACACCTGGCCTTATGAAGTGGTGGTGTGGGCAAGTGTGATACTACTCTATGTAGTGTCGAATATAATGAATGGACGAGTGCTAGTTTTTACAACTTTCACAAAAACTGTATTTACTTTTTTCCTCTTTGATGAGATTCATCCCCAAACCCAATAAAGTGGAAAATAAGGCAACGATTGTCATTTCAAAATTTACACCCATTGTACATATTTTGTTTACATCTATTCATAGCATTTAATTTAAGAGATGATATTAACTTTAAATCAAATATAGATAAGTTATGCGAGAAGATTTATAATAAATAATTTAGTTAACCCACAACTCTCGTAAATGTACAAATACAAATTTGTAATGGAAAAAATAAAAGTACTGTGCATTATATTATCTTTTACTACAAAATCTTTACACAACACAGAAGTATTACAAAGTTAAAACTTTTTGCGAATAAAGAGCTGCTTTTCTCCGCCGGTAGCTTCTTCAGGCGCCTTGGTCTGGAAAACTTCATTGGTGGGGTCACCACGAAAAGGTTGTATTGGAGTTCTTTTCTTAAAGCCTTCCTTCTGTTGCTTCTTGTTTATATATTTATAACCTGCAGCCTTATGTTTCTCCCGTCGTATCTGTTAAAAACAAATCAACTGTGAAGTTTCTTTACACAAGACATTTGGAAAGATTCAACATATGCCAGGTTGGCCAACATAAGAACAGCCTTTGGAAACTTGTGTAAGAAATCATTCAGAACGTTCTATACCACATGTCAGACCAATCCTGGAGTATGCAGCTCCTGCATGGAGTCTGAATCTAGTCAAGCACAAAATTAAATTAGATAAAGTTCAAAGGTATGCCACCAAAATAGTACCCGAGATGAGGGGTTACAAGCTACAAGGAGACAGCGGGAACTAAACCTTACGTTGCTGGAGACAGAAAAGTTAGGGGAGACATTATCACCACAAGATTTTCAGAGGAATTGATAGGGTAGATAAAGACAGTTTATTTAACACAAGATATACACACACACGGGGAAACAGCTGGAAACCAAGTACCCAAATGAGTCACTGGGACATTACTCTTGACACACACACACACACAAAAAAAAAAATTATGTGGAGGCAGACTCCATACACAGTTTCAAATGTAGATATGATAAAGCCCAGTAAGCTCAGTAATCTGTACATCAACAAACTTTAAAAGGTGCAAAGACATGCTACTAAGTGGCTCCCAGAACTGAAGGGCAAGAGCTACGAGGAGAGGTTAGAGGCATTAAATATGCCAAAACTAGAAGACAGAAGAAAGAGGTGATATGATCACTACATACAAAATAGTAACAAGAATTGATAAAATCGATAGGGAAGATTTCCCGAGACCTGGAACTTTAAGAACGAGAGGTCATAGATTTAAACTAGCTAAACACAGATGCCGAAGAAATATAAGAAAATTCACTTTCACAAACAGTGTGGTAGACGGTTGGAACAAGTTAGGTGAGAAGGTGGTCGAGGCCAAGACCGCCAGTAGTTTCAAAGCGTTATATGACAAAGAGTGCTGGAAAGACAGGACACCACGAGCATAGCTCTCATCCTGTAACTACACTTAGGTAATTACCAGTTGATTGACAGTTGAGAGGTGATACCAGAGATGAAGCTCAACCCCCAACAAGCATAATTTATGCAAGTACAATTAGGCAAGTATATATTGTGTTACCTTAACCTCACTTGATTTTGAAGTTACCACAGACAGCATCCCCATGCACTCTACACCAGGCCCAGACTCCTGGAATGCTATATTCATCAAGAATTGTAATAAACCACCATCACAGGATCTAAACTTTTGGACACAGAGCCTAGATACTGTACTGGTGTTATCCTCGACGTACTTAAAACAGCGGACATTACATTTACAATCAACCAGGCTGTGACTCATACATCAGGGTGCGAGCATCTAACAGCCTGGTTGATCAGTCCAGCAACTAGGAGGCCTGGTCGACGACCGGGCCGCGGGTACGCTAAGCCCCGGAAACACCTCCAAGGTAAGGTAACCACTTCACAGAGGAGGTAGTAAAGCAGATAAAACAACAATAAACCAATAGCCCTAACATCACACCATAAAAATCTTTGAAAGTGCTAAGAAGATCACAAAACACATGTAATCACAATGTTTACATAATTCTGGGCAACATGGGTTTAGAATAGGCACTCTTGCTTCTCACAATTGGTATATAACTATGGCAACCTTAGATGCCATGGCAGACTAAACACTGATGTAATACACACATTTTGCAAAAGCTTTCAACAAATGTGACCACTATTATTCCACAAAAATGAAATCCGGGCAAAGTAGGAAGGGGGATCTTTAACTTCTAACTGAACCCAGTGTAATAGTCAACAAAGTAAAATATGAATCATCCACTGAAAAGGAACGTGCTTGCTCTGGCACTTTTCCTCGTTCCTATATCAGATATAAACACGGATACAAACTACAGTACTGTATCATCCTTTGCAGATGACATTTTCATGAGAGTAGACAATAGAGGACACAGCAAACCTTGAATTTAATGTTAAGTCTTTCAGTGGGCTACAAAATAAATGTTGTTTGATGAGGATAAGTTCCAATTACTGAACTATGGAGAAAAACGAAAATATTAAAGCAGAAACCCCACATAAAACACCATCATTGAAAGAAAAAAAGATTTAATAGTAATCATGTTGGAAGACCTTACTTTTAAACAACAAAATTACTGTCACAACTGCAAGAAAAATGACAGGTTGGAAAACAAGAACTTTCCAAACAAGAGATGCCATGCCTGTGATGATACTTTTAAAGACAGTGCTCTCTAGAGCACTAGTTTATAATAAATAAACCGGTATGTGCCAAACTGACAGGTACATCTAAAGTGGAATATTGTTGCACACTTACAGCCCCATTTAAAGCTGGAGAAATTGCTGACCTAGAGTGTGTGCAAAGATCTTTTACTGTGGAATCCACTTGATAAAACATCTAAATTGTTTAGATGTTTTCATCTAAACATCTAAATAGTCAGTCAAGGCCAGAGCCTTGACTATTTTAACAGGAAGAAGCTACATAATACAACAGACAGTATCACTACCCACTGGAAGGATAATATGCAGTTAGAACTATGAACTGGTAACTAACTTTTAGGAGTTGCAAAACTACTTAAACACTACTAGTAACTAACATACCATATTTGGATTTATGTAAGCTGGGTTCTCCCACAGTGTAACGCCTCCAAAGCTGCTATCAAACAGCTTAATGGGGTCTAGGACAAATCTGGGACCTGTAGAAATAAGATTTAGCACATCAGAATGTATTTTATATGCAGTACTCTATTATTTAATTATTAATTTCTCCTCCCAATTTTAAATGTAAGGTAACATAACAGTTGCATTATACCATACAAAGTTACACACTACATATCACACTTGCTCATTAAACCTTAACCCTTAGAAAGTGGCTATTGAAAACTTGCTTATGCACAATAAAAATAAAATAATAAATTTATTATACAATAAATTTATAAGAAGATGTAAGAATAACACAAAAATAAGTGAATATTTATCACTTCAGTGGGTGGAGTCATTTTCTATATTTTGGAGGCATAAGCAATATGAAAATAATACTTACTATAGAGGAACAAAAATTGTGCCACATTATGTAATTGAACAATTTTCTTTGTAAAGCCACTAAATTGTACTGAAGTGTTTGACTACAGAATTTCAGATAAATTAATATACAAAATGACTCATAAAAGCTAATTCTAAGGCAAAATGTTTTGATCAGTTTACAGGATAAGACAATATTCCGAGGAAAACAATGAAAGGGAAAACTATTTTAAATATTTAAATTTGAGATCAACAGTTTTCCCAATGTTTAATTACAAGTTCCATGACAATTTTAAACTTTGGCATAATTTCCCATGAAATGTTTATATGCTGAAATAATAATAAACAGGTAATGTAACTTTTCTGAATTCTACAAGACTATGATCTAAAATAACATCAGTGACATAACACTTACCAATCTCGGACAGCTTGCCATCCATTCCTAATATTTCATAGTTGCGGAACCAAATTTTGTTATCCAGGATGGAGAAAGTAAATACATGATCATGAAAGGGTTGACTCTTTGGGTGGTTGTTTGGGGTGCCCAAAGTCTGCACAAAAAGCTCCTTTATCACTGCCCAATGAGGCTCGTCAAAAGCAGGGTCAAAACTCAAGAAGGGTCTTGAACCCTTTAGACAATTGCCAGTCATCTTGAGCTCCTTCATGGTGTGCGCTGAAAGTTAAAAATGTTATGGTTATTTGTTCAGTATTCTTTAATTATACAAAAGTAATGAGTGCTCTCTACCTTATGTTAATCTACATGTACACGTTAGTTTAGTTCATTTATTATGCACCCCATACCCATCTTGTGGGCAGTAGTGGAAAGGGTTACAGAGGCACATAATGGGCTCAGGGACTGAACCCCACAATTCATTTAGCTAAGCAAGTTACAATCTTGATGAGCTAATTACAAAATTCAGTATAAGTCATCACATCATCAATGGGTTCGAGATCAACCACAAGTAAAGTTTCTAAATTAAGCAACTGACATATGTGAAGAGTTAATGTCACAATTGATATGTTTGTCCTGCACACTGCCCCCTCTCCCCATCCAGTGGGCAGCGGTGGATAGGTTACAATCGCTTAGTTACTATCTACAGTTCCATGTTTAAGGAGAGAATGTTTGAGGTTGGAGGCTCGCTAGCCTCGCCCAGCATTGCAGGGGAAATGTCTGGTACAAGATGAACACAGGTGGGTTGAGATAGCCAGAATTCAGTGTCATTGTCACATACTGACCTCCCCACAATTTTTGCACTGCCCACCAAAAAAATATTATAGTTAATATGAAAAATTATAAAGTAGTCTCAAGGCAAATAAATTTTCTAATCATCATACTTTGCCTGTTGTAGCATAAAACAGACAATCATCCCACAGCTTCAAAGGCTTTGTCAACCCCTGCCCCTTTCTCATAACAAAACGTAAACTTAGATTTTTTATGAGTTTACTGTCCCCCCACCCCCCCGTTCTATAAATATCAGAATATTTTTGCATTTTATTCACACATTAGAAACATCCCCTTGGATGTTTGCAAGGTCTGTGTTTATTTTCTTCAGTCAGTCCTCTTCTTGTTAAAATTTCATTTATTCAATAACTTTTCTCACGTGCTAATCTTTTTAAACATATTACGAGTATTGATGTTAGGTTGAACTTCAATGAGCTTGCTATCTGAGAATGTTGTTTCTAAGATTTGTAATGTCCCCGACTATTTTTCATTGTTTGTGAATATCCTATCAAGAGTATTTTTGTTCCTAGTTGGCTCTTATCTGCTGGTTAAGGAATTTTTTTTCACAATCTTGATAGTTCTCTACTTAGGTTTTTTTTTAGGTTGATTACCTATTACAATGTTATTGTTTGCCATTTTACATCTTAGATGGCAAACTGTCTCTAAGGAAGATAATATCCGCTACTAGATTTTATAAATTACCAAGGCTATGTGAATTCCTCAACTGTTGCATCAAACAGTTTGCATATTAGAATAATAATTAGGTTTATTTAATCTACAGAACTTTGATTACTAATGACACCACTCTAGTTACAAATCACTCACTGATGTCTGTCTTTATCCTCCAATCATTAACTTGGGGCTGCTTGTTGTATTTCCATTCTTGACATTTATGATCATTTCTATTTAGGCTTTGGTCTAAATAGATTGAATTTACTGAATAATCCCTCTTGCTTACTCGTAAGCGAGCCCTTTTGGGCTTGTAACCCGAAAAGTTTGTAAAGAGGGGGCATTCGTAAACAGAGGTGTCACTATCTGCATTTCCTTTAGACATTCTCCATCATATACTGTACTTAATAAAATGCAGATGAATAGCCCAAATATTAAAGCTAATTTTTGCAATAACAGAAATTATGGGATATAATAAGGATTATGAGATACAAAATGTCAATTTCATACCAATTCTCTTTATATACAGTAATAAAATCAAACATTAAATGGACTACTAGAAACACTTTACAAAAATCTCTTAGTGAGAAACTAATTGGTCTGCAATACAGTAATTGACACCAAAGATTTCACTTACCATTTAGGACAAGAAACTTGACAGAAGGCCCTCGTGGAATATTGGAGACCCACACGTACAGGTCTTTTTTCTTTTTACTTTCAAAATAGATGCACTTGTTGCAATTTTTCATCTCTGCTATCTATAAGAGAAATTCCATAAATTTAATAATATACAGAGAAACGTCCATTTGTGGAGCCCCTGAAGCTTGAACTATTATAGGAGCCCTTCACAACCAACAATGAGGTCTGGGTAACTATTTTCTTCACTGGTAATGCTCGACAACTGATAACCACAATTTTTTTTTATTTAACCACTACATCTCTTTTTGATTAAATTTGAGATGCAGACCCCGAATTTTTAAGCAATGTAGACTAAAGTTGCTTCTGGGGCTCCTCTGGAATTAGGGCCCCTGAAGCTTAAGCTTCATTAGTTTCACAGTAGATGAATTCCTACATTTATACATACAAAATCTACTCAAGAGTTCATTATCAAATTAATTTACATATATTTTCCTCAACAATATCTTGTGCATTGTTTTCTGGATTCACAAGAGGATCATGCCTGTTCATTAAGAACAAAAGAAAACATGATGTGGTTCAATCATGGTTCAATTAATTACACGAGGGTAATTGAGAAAGCCATTCCCAGTCCTCTATGCTAGCACATCTCTCATGATACAAATAATACACCATTAAGAAATATTCCTTAAAATATAAACTAATTTTTAAATAGATACAATATAATTAAAAATAGACTACAGGGGCATACAACACTTAAAATGTACATACCACAGTACTATGGAGCATCTCTCGAAAGATAAGAAAAAAGTGAGTGTGTGTGTGTGTGTGTGTGTGGGGCGGGGGGAATATTTGTTGGAGGAAAGGGTAGGGAAATTTAGGTGATGGAGGAAAGGAAAAATGGGAGATATGAGAGGAAGAGGGAAAAAGGGGAGGGAAGAGAGGAATATTGGGGGGGGGGGAAGATAGGGTATAATGGGGGGTGGGGGATGAGAAAGTATCCTGGGCACTGCCAGATATCCCTCCTAGTCAACTGTCAGTGACAAAAGGCAAAAAACACAGGACTGACAACTCACGTGAAATGTTCTGAATAAATGTTTGAGGGTGGAGATTACCCTGGAAGTGCCGAGTCTTTGTAAGTACTGTACGTATTAGTGAAACTTCAGTGGAAAAAAAAGGAGTTTCCATTTTTTATGAAACCACCTCAGTCAAGGAAGGGTAGGAGAGGTGACAAACTGAATGTTGCAAGCTGGAATGAGTCATGCAGAGGCAAATTACGAGTACAATACACACGACGAAACTATGCCATTGCTACAGCATTCGAACAAGTTTTAACGCCTTCTAACAAGCTGCAACAACTTTCTAATAAGTTATAAAACTTTATAACAATATGTAACAACTTTATAACAAGGTAACAATAGGGACTGTTACATTGTGCTTTTGCAGGGTGGGACCTAGAATAACCTATTGTGCTCATCCCACCTGCCACCCCAGCTCAACAGAAAAGCAGGAGTTTGCATGCAAGCAAAAAGCAAGAATTAGACAACATACTTTTCCAAAAATCCACTGCTTACGATGTGAGCAATAGTGCTTATTTACTAACTTCTGTAATAACAACACTCCATAACTGGGAGCAGAATAGTCCATACTACTATTACTTCTACAGTACATTTAACATAATACTGTTAGCATATACTACAGTATAAGTAGTAACTTCATATAAATACATATGAGCGATGGACAATTTTCTTTTTTCTTTTTAAGGAATGAAAGTGCATAGGATGTTCAAGTACTGGCAGTAACTGGAGAAGTTATACCAATTTTGTATTGGAAAAATAGGCTTATACCAATACAGTATGGTTTTAAATGCTATGAGCCAATATTGTTCAATCTGGGGTGTAATTATTTTTTCTCCAGTGACTGCATAACTACATAAATTCAATAAAATAAGAAAAACAATAAAATAGCCCCCCCCCCCTTACCTACCATCTCTCTCATAAAATAGAAGCATCTGTATTTACCTCATTAATAACTCTGAGATCATCTTTACGCTCTTTCTTGGACTCAGGTTTGCTGTGTGGCAAGAGAGATCGAAGGTCATCCATCAGATGTCTATCTCGAAACGACATGCCACGAGAGCCAAATACCAACACACGCTGCTTGTTCATCCATTTTCCCTGCAATTTTTAAATAACACAATGATTTTTTTTTTTTTTATAAAAGCATGCATAACCTGGCTCAGGATGGTCCAACTATGGGCCCTTTCTAGTCACAGATACAGAACTTATGTTTTTTATTGAATCAATATCCAGTACTAATATGAGTGTGCGGGAGGGAACAAAAAATCAACGCACAGGTCACATGAGGCAAGAGCTATGACAGGCAGTGTTGGGGGATTAGTTGACTTGCTTTAGGAAAGTAGTTGATTGTATCACACTATACAGTACTGCATTATCCATAAAAAAACATTATATGACTCGGTATTACAATTAAAGATGTCATGCAGTTATCAGCATAGTGAATTTAATCAGAGGCTATAATAAGTCACACAAAATTCATATCTTTCCTTGAAGTGAAAACAAAATTCAGTGACCTGCCACTACACACATCAGGAGGCTCAGTGTTGGAAAAATGCGCCAACATTTCTTTGCACTTAGGAATGATATCCCTTCATTTCCTTAAAATGAACAGCTAAGCAATACACTGCGGAACTCGGTGGCAAGATAAAGACCTTCTTTGCTCCCTAGCATTCCAAAGACATAATAGTCCACTTAGATGTGCTGAACCTAAGTTTACAAGGCATACAACAAAATTCCATGGTTATGTGTACTAGGAGGAGCCTGCCATTGTGTGTGCCACATTGGTGGCTTACGTCATTGGTTCCCAACACTCCCCCATATGGTGCCACTAGGCCATATGTCATTGCCTAGAGCCCAACACAATTGAATATTATGTTCATATCCTTTCCACTACTCTCAATAATTGCAATGGAGTATAACAAACGATCATCAACTGAAACGTGTTATCGAAATAATATATGTGATTTATTAAGTTATTTAGCACACATACTTGTAAAGTATGTATATTATTTCTCTTGTAAATAAAGAGAAACAAGTGATAAACAACCAGTGAAAGATCTGAGTATAAAACAGTGTCAGCAAAGTCAGACAGCGGGTGTTGACAGGCGCCACACCACCTTACACAACACATATGCACTTATTTTTGTTTTTATTACATTTTGCATACAAATTAATAATTCTAAAATTTATTTTTTTTTGTTTTGCTCAAAGTCTGGTATGTCCATTTCTCTGTTACCCTGCTGTCCAAGGGGGTAACCTATTGAGTAAATTACCTCTCTAGCATCCACAAATCAGCTACTTACCTTAGCATTACAATAAATTACAACTTACCCTGATATTCTTATGAAACCCAGAGTAACCCCAGTCCACAAGAAGGAATAGCATACTAACATTAACAGTTACAATGTAAAACACAATATCCAACCAACTTATATTAGACTGACCATGCGGTGTGAAGGACTGACCCTGCGGTGTGGGGGACTGACCCTGCGGTGTGGGGGACCTGACCCTGCGGTGTGGGGGACCTGACCCTGCGGTGTGGGGGACCTGACCCTGCGGTGTGGGGGACTGACCCTGTGGTGTGGAGGACTGACCCTGCGGTGTGGGGGACTGACCCTGCGGTGTGGGGGACTGACCCTGCGGTGTGGGGGACTGACCCTGCGGTGTGGGGGACCTGACCCTGCGGTGTGGGGGACCTGACCCTGTGGTGTGGAGGACTGACCCTGCGGTGTGGGGGACTGACCCTGCGGTGTGGGGGACTGACCCTGCGGTGTGGGGGACCTGACCCTGCGGTGTGGGGGACTGACCCTGCGGTGTGGGGGACCTGACCCTGCGGTGTGGGGGACTGACCCTGCGGTGTGGGGGACTGACCCTGCGGTGTGGGGGACCTGACCCTGCGGTGTGGGGGACTGACCCTGTGGTGTGGGGGACCTGACCCTGCGGTGTGGGGGACTGACCCTGCGGTGTGGGGGACCTGACCCTGCGGTGTGGGGGACCTGACCCTGCAGTGTGAACAGCAGTGTGAACAGCAGTGTGAACAGCACCGTGGCCGTATAAATGCAAAACCAAAGTGAATACCTTTTTCTTGATAGGTTGTTCCGAGTCTCTAACCAGAGGCGGGAGTGGGAGAGGCTCTTCCTGGTTTTCTTGCTCGGAGCGAGCACGCTTCCTCTTGGCCACCATGTTGCTGCTGCTGCTTACTCTTCTTCCTAATTAAGGCCAGCCACGGGGCTAAGCCGCATATCCCCTGCCAATACCGATTTGTTTAGATGATGCAAGTATATTCCCTTAATGGCGTGAGCTGGAGGAAAAGTCTCAGCCCACAAGCGTGGATGTTATATGCTGCTGCTCACTGGCGCTGTTCCCATGCTGGGGCCACCAGTGGCCAAGTCAATCCAAATCCGTCGTTCCTTTCCCATTTACCAACAGCTTTTTCCTTTAGGAATTAACTACCGCACATTGGACTTGGATTACAAAAATACAAATTTTTATTCAGGTAAAGTACATACATACAAGGTAAGATACAAAAGTTGATGGATTTATGGATAGAGCTAGTACATACAATGCCTAAAGCCACTATTACGCAAAGCGTTTCGGGCAGGAAAAACACTTAAGACTAAAACTTAATACTAATTAATTATTTTATTTATTTTTATTTATTCATTTAAATACAAGATACATTCCTTGTAAATATTTATTGTATGTATGTACCTTACCTAAATAAAATTGTATTGTATTGTATTGTATTGTATTGTATTGTATTGTATTGTATTGTAACACGCATATCGTTTCGGGCAGGCTAATTAATGAAGTACTATTAATTATTTAATAATATTAATTAATAAATAATAATAAATAATAATATGATGATAACCAAACCACACATCAGAAAATGTTTCGGTCCGTCATTTTTTTTATTAACAAGCTTAGTTATACACAACAATGTTCTACTACCCTATTCTATATGAGATATTACACAGTGTAGATCAAGAACTAGCTATAGGTTCAATTATTATTCCCATCTCACAGGATGGTTAGTCAAACATCGAATCAGGGGGAGAAAATACCTGCCTCAATACAAAAACAAATCAACTATGACTAAAATTCAGGTGAGAACATAAAATATCTATTTGCCTCCACTAGCAAATACTGAGTACAGCACAAGAATATCTTCCAATATTCCTGACTGTATGAAGTAATTACAGAGCTCAAATTACCTAATACCATTAGGTCTGAAGTCACTTATAACAAGGTAATCACAGATATAGTGTCCCAGCTCTTGTTCACATAGTTTACAATTGGAATGTTGACTATTGGGGGATTCATTACCTGCAGCCACCTGCCTTAGATACCGATATCTCAGCCTAATTCTGGCAATTACAATATCACACTGTCTAGTGGATGTTATATACTGCCCGTACATATAATTCTCAGTTCTAAACATGTCATAGCTCTTTATACTCGTGTTTACTGGCCTTTGTGTGTCAGTGACTGCTCTTATGTCTTCCTTAATTTCCTGAAATATTATGGATTTTACAGCAGAAATTGGAATGCCTGCAGCGAGTATATCCAAGTCAACTTCAAGCTTATCACATGCAGTTTTAGCTGACTTGTCTGTGTCATCATGCTGGACAACACCTATGTGAGATGGTATCCATACAAATGAGACTGAAACTCTTGCTCTTTGCATTAATAATGTTGTTTATAATGGATGTTACAACGTGCAGGCGATGGGTCACAATAACGTGGCAAAAGTATGATGACAAGACCGGATGTTACAACATTCGTAGTGTCTATTGTGCATGTTGGATTTTTAAGGGCCTGAAGAGTTAGTTTAGTTCATTTATTATGCACCCAATACCCATTTTGTGGGCAGTAGTGGAAAGGGTTATAGAGGCATATAATGGGTTCATTATGGTTCAGTGGGGTTCAGGGACTGAACCCCACAATTCATTTAGCTAAGCAAGTTACAATCTTGATGAGCTAGTTACAAAATTCAGTATAAGTCGTCACATCATCAATGTGTTTGAGATCGACCACAAGTACAGTTTCTAAATTAAGCAACTGACATATGTGGAGAGCTAGTGTGACAATTGATATGTTTGTCCTGCACACCGCCCCCCATCCAGTGGGCAGCGGTGAATAGGTTACAATTACTTAGTTACGACCTACAGTTAGCAAACCACAGGGCCTGAAGAGTTGACTTTGAATCACACAAAATTACTCTTCCACTGTTTTTCAGTGCGTTAGTGGCACGTTGCAGTGCAGCTAATTCTGCATGTGTGGAGCTAAGCCAGTTATTGAGTCTCACACTTGTGGTCTGTATACATATATTGTCTTAGTATATTCTACAGGCTGCTGCAGTGCGACCCGTTGATATTTGAACAGACCCATCAGTGCAAGCATAGTGCTCCTGAGGCCGTAAGTTATTTATACAGGAATCAATTGTTTCAAGTGGTGTTGCTTTTAGGAGTGCTGGGGTTTCCTTGCTCTTTTTGCTGATGGGTGTGTAAGACACTTGTATTTCAGGGTACAGATACAATGGAATATCATTGGCTAGCATTTTGCATACAATACGAATATTTAGTTTAATGAGATGTAACTTGCTTAGCTAAATGAATTGTGGGGTTCAGTCCCTGAGCCCATTATGTGCCTCTGTAACCCTTTCCACTACCGCCCACAAGATGGGTATGGGGTGCATAATAAATGAACTAAACTATGAGATTGACAACACTTCTACTCAACCAGCTTGCATATAGGTTGCCCGCTGGTGCATTGGGAACACTCTCCTACCTACATACAGAACTAGTCAGTTTTCTTTAAATAGTAAGGGTGATATTGAATCTCTCATCGCCCTACACAGGAGTAGTACTGAGTACTGACAAGGGTGTTAAACGCTATACTAGACGTTAGACAAGGGCGTTAGACGCTATACAAGGGCGTTAGACGCTATACAAGGGCGTTAGACGCTACACAAGGGCGCTAGATTCTATACAAGGGCACTAGACACTAAAGAAAGACGTTAGACATTATACAAGGGCTCTAGACAAGGGCGCCAGACACTGGACAAGGGTGCTAAACGCTATACTAGACGTTAAATAAGGTTGTTAGACGCTATACAAGGGTGCTAGATTCTATACAAGGGCGGTAGACACTGAACAAAGGCGTTAGACGCTATATAAGGGCTCTAGACGAGGGCGCCAGACACTAGACAAGGGTGCTAGACGCTATATAAGGGCTCTAGACAAGGGCACCAGACACTAGACAAGGGTGCTAGCCGCTATATAAGGGCTCTAGACGAGGGCGCCAGACACTAGACAAGGGTGCTAGCCGCTATATAAGGGCTCTAGACGAGGGCGCCAGACACTAGACAAGGGTGCTAGACGCTATATAAGGGCTCTAGACAAGGGCGCCAGACACTAGACAAGGGTGCTAGACGCTATACAAGGGCTCTAGACAAGGGCGCCAGACACTGGACAAGGGTGCTAGCCGCTATACAAGAGCGCTAGACGCTAGATAAGGTCGCTAGGCGCTATACAAGGGCTCTAGACAAGGGCACTAGACAAGGGTGCTAGCCGCTATACAAGAGCGCTAGACGCTAGATAAGGTCGCTAGGCGCTAGATAAGGTCGCTAGGCGCTATATAAGGGTTCTAGACAAGGGTACTAGACAAGGGTGCTAGCTGCTATACAAGAGCGGTAGACGCTAGAGAAGGTTGCTAGACGCTATGCACACAACTGTCAACACCTGACGTAACAGTGCGGCGGCGGCACATCTGGGAGTTGTGCAGTCATCGGGCGAAAACCTTCACACAAACTGGGCGCAGGGTTGTGTGTGTTATCTCAAGTACACTGTTAAAACGGTATGTCACTCTCCGCAGGTACATGTGTAACACGGGTTAGGGTTCCTCTCTTATTTATCTTCCTTCTACTCCCTCTACCCGTATTCTTACTTTTTATTCTCTACCAAGGGACTCCAAAACTTTTACCAAAGCCAACTCCACGCCACGTGGTCCTAAGACGATTGACCGACTTAGGATTCTACACCCAGTATGACGTGACCTAAGCTCTGAGCAAAACCCTAGAGTCGCCTCTACGCTGCCACCACCAGACCAGTAACACAAGAGCAATGATCGAGGTCTGGATCGATCACGCTAATTAATCAACCTAGGGCTTGATCCCCACTATAAACGATGACCTTGAGTGTGGAATAAATTACACGGTAATGATAATTCCGGTTCGATGTTAGAATCGGCGCCCAATCCAACTTTACCTCGTGTGGACCACGTGACCAGGACAAGTTTACACATAAAACACATGGAAATAATGAAATGCGAAATATTAACAAATTTAATTTATTAAAAGAAAACTAAAACAAAATCTAAATATGTTCACTCCCTGTCACTTTAACACTCCCTACTTGACCTGAATGGCAATTGAGACTATTTCTATACATAACCATAGCAACTATACCTCTATGTTTTCCAGCTAAGATGTTGGGCTGGTCTCGGGGAGAGGTAAGATGTTTGACCTCTCCCAGCTGCTTCCGTGACCACACTGATCTCTTCCTTGTCTGGTCTACCCCAGACAGAGTATTGTATCCTTCCGCCTAGTCAAAGTTCTACCCAGTTACTAGCAAGGTTTAAGTTATAACAATTAACCTCTGTTGTACTTAATTGATCCAGACTGGTTGAATTATTTTACTGAATTAAATTACAAACATCTAACGGCAGAGCTGTTCCCGATCCCCAAAATGGTTAATTGAACTTTGAGAAATACTAGACATGTCAACCCTGCTGACCTATGACCGCCGGTCACTCCGCCTTAAAAGTTAGATCTGATTCGTGACGTCACTGATGGTGACTTAAACTCAATAATTAGAATACTCTTGATATTGTATCCAGTACTATTATACAATACAATTTTAATGCAAAATGAATAAAGGCTAATTTCTCTAAATTACTGAATACTATAGGATGATTCATTATACGCAGCTATGAACAAAGCGTCGGTTATTTCCATCGCGAATCCCCCTGGGGGTCAGGTCACCATGCGGCTCAGCTTCCCATTCTCTTTTGTCGATAAACCACTCTGGATAATTCTTACAACAGCCTAGTTTGTTACAACCCCCCCGCACAAGCACTTAGTAAACCTTGTTAATTTGTTAAAAAATCACGAGGTTTAGTATCCAAACCCACAATTCAACTCATACACATGGATGAGGTACTTTAAGGTTTTCAGTGGTGGGAGTTCTTAGAGCTTCCAGCATGGGGGACATAATATGTAGTCACCCAGCTTAGCTAAATGAATTGTGGGGTTCAGTCCCTGAGCCCATTATGTGCCTCTGTAACCCTTTCCACTACCGCCCACTGTAACCCTTTCCACTATCGCCCACTGTAACCCTTTCCACTACCGCCCACAAGATGGGTATGGGGTGCATAATAAATGAACTAAACTAAAGAGAGAGAGGGAAGGTGAGGTTATTATTCCCTGGATCTGTTGATATCTTCGGTTTTACTTAAAATATTTGTCTGGTAGAGGTTTTACATATAGATCGCGTTTCTGTCTTTCTTCTGACTAATAAATAATTTTGGTTTAATCAGTTATCAACATGTTTTCAACAATATTCTTTCAGCGTTTTTCTTTTCCAACACGGGCGACCCTTTTGAAAACGCGATACTTGGGCTAACCCATCCTATACTTGGGTCAGTTTCCATTATGGTTTGGAACAATGACACCACAGGGAGCTTAAGGATTAATTTACCATTATCTAGGTGGTAGTGTAGGGGAGAGATTTTTAAGTGGTGTCTCAGATATAAACATACCGAGATAAATTATAGAAGGTGTAGTGATGATTATTTGAAAAGAAATATATATTTGGAAAAATTTCTAACAATAATAATCACATGGAAGCAGACAATAATCAAAACAATCAAAATGGCTGACACCATGGCTAGTGAGCTGTTAACAAGAGAGACAAATTTCAAGGCATTCCATAGAATTACCCAAAGCTAGCTAAAGCCACCCAAAGTCTCCCTCAATAACACAAGTACAGAGGAAATATAACATACTGTGTGTGTGTGTGTGTGTGTGTATGTATAATATATATATATATATATATATATATATATATATATATATATATATATATATATATATATATATATATATATATATATATATATATATTTTATTATTATTATTATTAATCTAGTTACAGGCAGACCAGGATAGGCCGTCAGTTTAATTCAGATGGTGACTTAATGCTATTCAGTAATTCCAAACAAATCTCCTTATAGATTGAACATGTCGGGGTTGACTATACCAATTCACCCCTGTACGCACAACCCAACAGAAGCCTGGGACCAGATCAGACCCTCACAGCGGGTAATTAAGCTTAATGTCAAGACTCCGACAACACCTCAAAATGATAATATGGTAAGATTTGGAGTAAAATATTGTGTAAAATTATAGGCTAAGTTTCTTTTAAAATGAATGGAAATGTTATTTGTGATGTGGCAGCTTATTCCCAAAGATTTCCTTAAGTTCATCTAGGTTTTTTGCACATGCTATGAGTTATGGTAATGGTCCAGGACGAACTGAAACGTTGTCATCTCCTCATCTACTTGTGTAGTTTAGTCTACTTGTCTTGCCATCTGCTGCTGCCTACTTGATATTGATATTTAGAATTTAACTGCTTCAAAGTTGCAATTACATGTACCTAATACTCAACCCTTTTCGTGTAGTGCATTTAATTTGAAATAAGCTTGTACTTTTTTATTATTCTTATGTATTGTCATGAATTACATGGGTTGAAAGATTTTAACCACATTAAACCATAATGTGTACAACAGTAATTAAGAAATGATCTGTATATCTTACTGCTTTCTAACATATTCCCTTTAGTTAAGGTTTGTATGCATGAGCGACACCCACTGCCTTACATCGCACCTCCAGTTTGAGATCCCCGAAGGTGATGTTTTTGTTCATGCTGGAGATTTCACACGGTGTGGCAGTGCAGCGGAGATTGAAGAATTCAATAGTTGGATAGGTGAGTTATTTTAAGTGGTTTATGTACCTACCTTGTAAAATTTCAGACCGTGTTGAATAAACCACAATTTATTAACAAATTACAATTAGCAAAGATCTTGTGGTATAAATGTACAGTACTAGTAAATAAACGAGCGTTGAAATACAACATTGAAATTGTCAAGTTGGACCGACCCGACCCGCCCGACTGCAGTACAAACTCCCCAAAAAGTACAAACTATCAAAACAAAGCCCAACAATGTGTCTATCCACAATTGTCCCTTATGTATTCTGTAATCTTCATCTTGGATACCTTGTAAGGCCCAATTGAGGTAAATGATAAATATAATAAATGGAACGAGTAGTCATTACTGAAAGGAGAATGTAGAATCTCCATTATTGTCATCATGATCATCTCTGGTGATTCTAGTGACTAAAATAATAATTATGTTTCAGGTTCTCTGCCTCACAAGCATAAAGTAGTTATTGCTGGAAACCACGAGCTCAGTTTTGATCCCAAGTTCACAAATGGCCCAACAGCCCGACAACACCATAAAAATGCACATACAGGTACAGTACTATGAGGTTTAATAACATGTACAGAGTAACTACTCTTGTCCAAATTAATTCATGATAGTTCTTTCAGAGACTGAGCAATCGTATATACTGTATCTCAAATTTTTAATTAGTTTTTAATCACTGCCTTTATCTTTGCTTTCTCTCTACCATAGCCTACAATAGAGCAGTCATATGCAATCATTTCAGTGCCAAAGTGATAAATGAGATGATTATTACCTGTACAAATATAAAACAATATTGTATATGTAAACTCATCCTTCATAAGTACAACTTGAGTATATCCTATTTATTAAGGGTAACTCTTCCATTTTGCTGTATATATTTTTTTATTTATATAGATTGAGAAACTTCACTAGGTTTACTTGGTGGCACAAGCCACTTGCATTATGAAGCAGTGCACTAGGTGGTGTCGAGGAGGCAGTGTTGTGGTGTCAGGGAGGCCGTGGTGTCGGGGAGGCCATGGTGTCGGGGAGGTGGTGGTGTCGGGGAGGTGGTGGTGTCGGGGAGGTGGTGGTGTCGGGGAGGCAGTGGTACAATGATGTCGAGGAGGATGTAGTGCAGTGGTGTCGAGGTGGATGCTGTACAGTGGTGTCGAGGAGGAGGGGTGCCGTCAAAAAGGCAGGGGTGTCGGGGAGGCAGGGGTGTCAGGGAGGCTTGATTGCCAAGGAGGCAGTGGTGTCATGGTGTCAAGTAGTATGCAGTGCGGTGGTGTCAAGGAGGATGCGGTGCAGTGGTGTCGAGGAGGAAGGGATGTAGTGGTGTCAAGGAGGAGGGGGGTATAGTGTGTTATGGAGGAGGCAGTAATTCCATAAAAGTGTAGTTACATTGTGAGAGCTATGCTCATTGTGTCCCATTTTCCCAATGCTATCAAATGACTCTGTGAAACTACTGACAGTTTTGGCACCTTCTTTCTTAACTTGTTCCAACCATCTTCCACTCTATTTGCAAAAGTAAACTTTCTAATAGTTTTCCATGAGCTTTGTTAACTTGGATTAAACTTGTTCTTGGAGTTCCAGGTTTCAAGAATTCTTCTTGATCAATTTTATCGATTACCAATACTATTTTGTTCATATTGATCATTTCACTTTTTTTCTATCTTCTTGCTTTGGCATATTTAACATCTCTAGTCTCTCCTCCTAGCTCTAGTCTTTCAGTCCTGGAAGCCAGTTTGTTGCACGTCTTTGCATCTTTTCCAGTTTGTTGATTTGCTGCTTGAGATGCAGATACAACTGTCGCATACAGTATTCCAATTTTGGTCTCACTAAGGTTGTGAATAATTTATTTAAAATTTCACCTGCATGTATTTAAAAGCAGCTGTTAAGTTGAAAAGAGTAGTATAGGCTCCATGCACTGTGTTCTTTATATGGTCCTCAGGTGACAGTTATCTATCCAGAACCACCCCTGGATCTCTTGTCAGAGGCTGGACCACTAGGGTGGGGCCTTACCTCTGGTATTTTTAGGGTCTTTTGGCCTTTCAATCTAGTTCCAAAGTTGGGGGGTGAACATTTCAATGGGTTGAGATGCACTGGGGGGGTTTGCTTACTTTGCATGCCAAGGTTAGCTTCACAACCACATCAGTTAGGCTGTGTAGGTCTACAGTACTGTACTTGTATAATTTTCAGCAAGTGTCCCCAGTGCTTGGGTGTCCTCTTGGTTGGTCATTCAGGCCCTGGTAATCCTTTGGGTTTTTGGTGTGGCCTATAAATATCCCCTCCAAACCTGCTCTTGCACAAGTTTGAGGGCTATTCATCATCCATGCCACAGGGCAACATTCTTTCATTGTGCCTCCATCTTTCAGCTTGTTGGGTCAGTAACACCTACAAACCCTGAGTCCTGTGGGGGTTTATTCTCCCCCATGTAGCTCTTCTCTTAAACCCTCCAAGCAAAGTGGAAGCTTATCAGACAGCTGTTGCCTTGCCTGCTTTCAACACTGGCAGTTTTATTTCTGGTTGGATATCCCAGAGTTGGCCCATCTTGTTTTTACGGACCCAGGTGAATGGTGTTGGTGAATTGAACCTAGTTGCCATCCGTGCCTTGTCTTCCTTTCAAGTCGGGTGTGGTAAGCCCAGCTACTGTTCTTTCCCAAAGATTCCTCAATTCCTCTAAAATGTTTTGAAGAAACAGGCTGGGTTTAGCTCAGGGTGTGGCTTGGCCTTCTTCAAGGGTGGCTCCTTCCACTTCAAGAGTGGAGGTAATTGAGCCACCTAGTCCCGGGGAAGTTTCAGGGTTTTCTTTCTTCCTTTCAGCTAGCCTCTTTTTCCAAAACCTCTCCTCTAGACTCCACTTTTCTGCCTCAAGCAGTGTTCGTGAACTAAGGCTCTGCCCCGGAGTTTATGCTGCAGGACCTCCGGGGCTTTGTGCGAGTTCGATAAGGGTCCTTGGGTTCCCTTTGAGCTCAGTTGATCCTTTGTTCCTTCTGACAAAGGCATTTGCTTAAAGGAAAAGAGGGGGTTCTCTTACATCCCTTCATGCATGACTTTGATTTTTTTGTGGCTCTGAACCCTTCATGGTTCATTTCCATGTCCTTTTATAGTCCATTACATCCATCTTTCCACAGGTTTCCTTCCTCCCAGGGTTTCCCCTTCAGTGGCTCGGGTGGATCTCTTTAAATATTTCCTGTGTGACCTGGATTTTGCTTCTCTGATGGACCCCCCTGCCTCTTTCGAGTTTGGGTCATCTTCACCATGCTGGTTGCCTTATGAGTCTTCCTGGCTAGTGGACAATCCTCTCCTTGTGCTTAGAGACTTGGCACAATTACTGCTGTTCTTGCTTGCTTGAGTGGCATGAGGTTTTAAATGTTTCTCAGGTGTTTTTGGGCAACTTTTTTTTTTTTTTTTGTCACCCAGTGACAGCCTGTTTGCTCTTGCTCTTTCCTGGGATGTGGGGTTGATGCAGCTTCATATTTAGGTGGGTTTGCTTTCTGCATCTATCATGGCAGATGACTTTCAGGCTCACTCGCACTTGGCTCTGGTTGTGCGTGATCAAACCCGCTTAGTGGTTCATTATGGTGCACAAAAATCTTTATAGTTTTATATATACAGTATATGTAGGTAGTGTATATCCAGTGAAATAACAGCAGAAATACTGTTCTTGTTCAAAGATTAAAATAATCTTGTCACAAATGTGTGCATCGTATTTGGAGTATAGCAATGTTCTATACATTTTATTATATAAATTTATCAAATTACACATTGTTGTTATCAGGTTGCATCTTCCGCCTTACCGCTGGCTCAGTGTGACCGCATCAGCAACCTGTCGTCAGACCAAGTCCACCCCAAGGATGCATTCATCAATTTTAACATGCGTTTCATTCAAAATAGGAATTTTCTCAAATATAAGTTAATATTTTTATATATTAGCACATTGTGCATATTTAAGCATTGGTTAGGTTAGATGTTTAGGTTCGGTTGGCGATTATTTGTATTTGTAGTACGTTGGTGAAGCATTTACAGCGTTGCGATTTGAACAGAAATTGTCAATGAAGCACTTGTTCCGGAAGTTTACGAATGTCATCAGTTCTGAGTCGTGTGTAAACCTTTTTCATTCATAAACGGGGTTTGACGGGTGCATGGAATGGACTTTGGCCTTTGTTTATGAAGACGGGCTGGCCCAGAGCACTTGCTCAACGAATGCTCATGAATCATGATGTTTTTGTGAGACTTCCAGGCTTCACAAAGTAAGCTGCATAAATTTGTATTTTTTCTTATGATCAGGAAATGCATTTTAACAAATTATAAAGAAACAAATTTGATTTTTTGTTTTTTTATGCCCCAGGGGTTGTTAACAATTAACAGGTGCGCAGTCGAGAGGTTAATGTCCCCAGGCCTCACCATGCCTATATTGCCTTGGGTCATCTCCTTTGTCTGGTTTTCTCTTATACAGCTAAATACCTGCTGTCATTCGTCCCTTTTAAGTACCTTGTGTTTCTTCTCTGTGTGTAGTTGGCTTCAGGGAACTACAAGGGGCTTTTCCAGGAAACCAGCATGGAATGTAATGAAAAGCCTCTTTCTGGATGAGTCATGATGGCTCCCTGATTCCTTCCCTCCCTTGCTGGTTGGTTGGATGGTGTTTATGATTTTCAAATTGCTCCAGAACTGGCTTGGAAGCCTAGGAGGGAGATCTGGAGCTCCACCCACCTCCCTTCCTTTAATGGCGAGGGTTAGTAATTTCCTAAGTGTAGTTATAGGATGAGAACTATGCCCATGGTGTCCTGTCTGTCCAGTACTATACTGTTGTCATATGAGGCTTTGAAACTACCTGTACTGTAATTTTTTTTAACCCCGAAATTATATTTTAACCCTTAAACTGCACCCATTACCTTCAAGTATTAGACTGACAGTGGACTTTTCACCTGTAGATTAGATTAGATTAGATTTACCTCTATTATTCAAAAGCCCTACTGATTCTATGCAGATGTCGATTAACACTAGAGACCTCTGATAACTGTTTTCCATATTGGACAAAAATCCTGAAAGTCTTAGTTTCCTTCCTGGGCCTTAGTAAATTGATGGGTACCATGTCAGGTGCATCCCCATCTATTGACTGACACCCATGCTAGGAACCACTGATGTCATGCAAAATTGCAAGGACTTTTATGGGCTTGAAAGACGTTAATGATGAAGAGAAAACTATTACAAATACTGTACAGGTAGTTAACTTGAAAATTATCCCTTGGAACACATAGAAATCGCAATAGCATGATGTATCAAATGAACAAATTGCTATTTGTGCCATGTCGTTGTTATAAAATTTGAGCATGTCGTAGCTCAGTCGATTAAGGCAGCATCTGGGATGATCTCGGACGTAGGATTGAATCCTCGTCACGGGCCTTGTGGATTTGTTTATCCCTTGGAATTTGTCAATATTTCTTCACCTCACTACTGCCAAACTAAAGCGATTAGAATTTTTATTGTATTTTCCCAACTTCAGAAAGCAACGTTTTACGATACAGAAAGAAAACTTTTTTTTATGTTCATTAGGAAACTGAACTAATTGTATATGTACAGTTAGGGGGGGCTAAAGTAGGTAAAAATAATTTTGTATAATATTTTGCATTATAACAACTAAATCAGTGTTTATATTTGTATGTTAAAATATGTACAACGGTGCAGTGATAGCCAAAAACTACTGACTTTTCGTAAGTCAAGATTATTTCCAAATCCAGATCTGGTCCAGAACAGTAGGATTTAGACTTTAAAGGTGATGCCATGCCTGTCTCACAGCAAACATGAAGTGACTTTGAATCATTATCTTTGTACTGTATTTAAACTGTAGTTTTGGAAAATTGAAGAGGGATTTCTTTATAATTAAGAATTTGATTACATTTTATTGATAACAAATTTTACATAAATGAGTTACAGTATTTGTTCCATAGGTGGAGGACTTATAAATGAGATCCCTGACTTGGGAATGGAGCGTGAGAAGCTGAAGGCAGCAGTTGAAGAAGAAAATACCAGCGACTTAATTACTAATGCTATGTATTTACAGGATGAGCCCTATACAATATGTGGCATTAAGCTCTATGGAACACCATGGTATGTATAGCATTAGGCAAATTATGAACATAGTTATTTGATGATATTGTTTATATAATAATTTATATAATTATACAGTATGTCATAATTAGTGTTTTAAAGTAGTAATTTACATGCACAAAATTCTAATTAAATAGGAAGTATTTTCTTGGAAAAGAAAGGAAGTGTAGCATTAAAACTGGCGAAGGTGTGAATGGGAATATTAGATATAATCATGCTAGAATAATCATGTTAATTGGTGAAGAGAACATTAGTACTAGATGAAGAGAATACTATTGAAAGTCCAATGGGTGAAAGTAATGAGAGTTGCTAATGTGAACATGATTGGATTTGATGGCATGAGAAGAGTTCAAGGTAGTGTGGCAGCTGATGTATCTATGGAAGTGGTGAATACAATAGTGAGGAAGCTGAAGTGTAGAAAAGTTGCAGGCATTGATGAAGTATATGCAGAAATGTTTAATTGTAGTGGTAATTAAGGAACGAAGTTAGTGTGGAGAATTTGGCAGAGGGCACAGAAAAATGATAAAGTACTAGAGGCTTTGGAAAGAGAGATGTGATTGTTCCACTGTATAAAGGAAAAGTGTGAATGTGGATATGTGTGTGAATTATAGAGGCCTTAAAGAGACCTAAATGTAGTGGACAGAGTGTATGGCAGAGTAGTGATTGGAAGAGTACAGGATATTACACATTTGTTAGTAATGAACAAGTCAGGTTCTGTGGTGGACAAGGATGTGTAGATCAGATATTTGCATTGACACAGCATATCGAGAAGGCATTTCAGAAAGATTATAAAGTGTATACAGTACTTCCTTTATGAATTTGGAAAAATTATGGCAAGGTTGCTAGAAAAATTATTGGATAGTGATGGGGATGTATTGAGTTGGCTGAGATCTCTTCAGTGCTATTAATATGTTTATGTAGAAATTGTACATGAGTAAGAGGTAATGGTGTAATGTGTAACTGATTTGATATTAATCCCAGGGTTGTGTAGTGTCACCCAATGTGGATAGGGCCATGAGCAAGGTTATGGTAAAAATATTAGAAAAAAGGTGTAAACCTGGTTTACTGGCCTAATGTGAACAATTGGAGTGTGTCAAATTTGATGTAGTGTAGATGATACACTACTTTAAGGATTGATCTCATTGGTTCTCCAGAGCTTGTGCATTAGTACCCTAGGGTCAATTCCATCTTGTCAGACATCTTCAACTATCTATCTTTCTATCTATTGGGAGAAAGGATCAGAATTCTATCTTCCTCACACTGAGGAAAAACTATACCAAAATAGCTGATAAAGGTCACAACAAATGAAACCAAAGAAATGTTTTGTAAATGAATACTAATCAAAACTCAAAATTATGGTATTTTAACCAAAATACCATTTTGCAACTTTACCCTTTCCACCATTAGATGACAATCCTAGCCATACACAAGTCTCTTGAGATCAGATCAAATCATACAGGGTACCCTTGCTTGGTACCCTTTATTTCTCGCCTGGTGTCCCCTAAGACCAATGTCTTTTGAGATAAGCAACTGACTCTTGTTCTTATATTATGGTCTACTATTTGTTTCATGCTTATATGCTCCAAGCAAGTGTTTGCTAGTCTCCTTGTTTGTGTTGTATATTAAGCATGCTTCAATTATGCATTGAAGGTTCCATTACATTCATTACATTGTTAATGAAGACTGTCAGTTACCAGAGTTTTCTTCCCTAAGGTTGATGGGTTTTTCCGTATTGTGAACACTTTTCTAATCCTTCCCTGTCTCAGATGGTGCCTCATGTCTTTGCTGTCATTCTGCCTGCCTGTGGTCAGTGATTTTTGCTGTAGTTTCTTTGTTCACAGCCTTTGCCCAAGGCTTGAGGTTTTTTGGTGATTCATCACTGTGATGAATTCTCACTCCTTGTTGGCTTTTTCTCATCTTTGCTGCCCTTGTGTGATGTTTAGGCCTTTGTCATGTAACTGATGCTTCTCTTCCCAAGCCCTGGTCTTCGTTTGTGCATTTCCATGTGTAAGCTCTTTACACTTTTTCTGTTGCTATTGTTCTTATGTTCTGTTTCAGAAAATTCATTCTTCTCTGCCAAAGTACCATTGGAAGTGAACTTTAGGAAGCTACTTAGGGGGATGTCTTGGAAATCAGTGTAATGAAACCTACTTTTCTAGAAGGTCCTTGGTAGCTCCCTGTTTCTATGCTGATACCTTCTTGTCATGGGAAGTTTGGGGGGGGGTTCAATACTGAGGGCTCAGGAATGAGATGGTTGGCTGGTCAGAACCCCAGGTGATCTGGACCACCATCTGGTGGCCTTCAACACTGATTATTTTCTGTGTTTGTCTCGAGTTATATTTATTTTTTAACAACAGTAGTTTTTGTTTCACTTAACCTTTCTAGTGTTTTTTTTTGGTTTCCATCCCTCACCTCATAGAGGTAGTCAGACTCTGGTCCTTGCTCTCGATTGGTTAGCAGAAATCTGGTGCACTTCACTCTTAATGTGCAGACCAAATGGCTCCCTCCCCTGGAAATTTCCCAAAATGCATGAAACACTATACAGTGTGTGTGTGTAATTACCTAAGTGTAGTTGCAGGATGAGAGCTACGCTTATGATGTCCCATTTTCCCATCACTCTGTTAAATACATTAGCGCTTTGAAACTACCGACAGGTTTGGCCACCACCTTCTTACCTAATTGCTCCAACTGTCTACCACTCTGTTTGGGAAAGAGAATTTTCTTATATTTCTCCAGTAGCTTTATTTAGTTTAAATCTGTGACCTCTTATTCTTGAAACTCCAGGTCTCGGGGACTTCTTTCCTATCAATTTTATTGAACGAGTGTGATATTTTATATTTGAAGCTAGAGCACATGGTGGAAGAACTCCATTACATATACCAGAGTGCATGGGGGGTTATGTATTAAACCTGAACTGTCTTCAATAGGGGCTGCCAGACATCCTGCGGATTTACTGGAATTCAGGTTCTATAACTTTTACCATGTTAAGGTCCAGAGGTAAGGTACATGGCTTGAGTGTACCCGTGTCGAGGGTTTAAATCTCCTCATTGTTCCAATATATTATTTTCATTACTAATAACAATAATAGTTATTAATTATATAATGTAGTACTTTATAGTAGTACATAGTTATTAAAGTACTTATTATTATTAAAACTATACAGAACAACTTGATACAGTATTTTGTTAATTGTTACAAAGAATGTATATTAAATGAAACTACTTAATACAAAATGAGAACTAAGTTAACATATAGAAATTGTTCAAGAAATTTAGCAAATGATGTATGGATTCTAAATATGCTTAATGAAGAAAGACGAACTATTTTATAATAGAATCTGTAGTTTTAGCAACTTCTTCAGCTCAAAGGCTGTAAGTAAATGGAAAGGATTTGTTGAGCAGGTTCTTGATGCTTATTCAATAAACAGTTTTAAATGTAAATTTCACAGGGAAAACAGGTGAAAAGGAATTTTTACTTGTGAAAAAGGTACCTGGTTGTTAAACAATTTGGCAGGTTGTATTCCAGGCAAAAATTAAGATTAAGGACCTGTGCGAAATGCTGTCATGCTAGTAGCTATACAAGAATGTAAGAACTCTTGTATATATAAATAACAAAGGAAATAAAGAAAAGAGAACTGAAGCAACAAAGGACTTCACAAGTGACTTGCCCAGTAGTTAACTATTAATGACTCCCTAGTGCTGTTATGACTCGTATGTGGAGCTATCTCGGTGTTAGCTTCGGGAGTCACTGAGGCCCCACCAGAATGAGGCATATCATTACATTCAATGCTGTTTTTTTTATTCACTTTGAATGCTAAAGTATGAGATAACTAATGACTTTATGCTACAGTGTATGAAAACTTGGAAGAAGCACTGTATACCCGGTCTTATAAAGTGTTTGAATACTTTTATGGATGACTGCTGGAGTGTGGTAGTGCTGGCTTGTCAGTGAAGCTGTATACTGTGTATAATATAATGAATGAACTAGAGCAATTTTATTAATATCTATATGGTATGTAAGAAAATAATAGGTTTGAATACTAATTAGTGTCAGTGCAATATATATAATGTTAGTTTTGAGCATTATTCTTTGTTTTAATAAGAAATATTACATTGCTTCAAGGAACAGATATGCCCATAACCTCTCAAATTCTGTATAGTAAAATTAAGTAATTTTTATGGTCTGTTCAGATAAAGCTCGGTCCCATTTTATGATAATTTTCCTTGTGTAATACCTGTTGTAGTACTATCATTTTGTTCTCTTCTCCACAGGCAGCCAGAGTTTTGTAATTGGGCATTCAATTTACCAAGAGGTAAGCTGTGCTTAGACAAATGGGATGCTATCCCTGTTGAAACCGATGTTCTCATCACCCACACACCGCCCATCGGCCATGGAGATTTGTGTTGCACAGGGGTCAGAGCTGGATGTGTTGAGTTACTCTCTACTGTTCAAACCAGGGTCAAGCCCAAATACCATGTATTTGGTCATATTCATGAAGGTTAGTTAATTCATGAATGAATTTTGTTCAAGTATTAACCTTACTCCAGAAGAGTTGATCAATTACAGGTAAACTCTGCAAGGGACTTTCATTCTAAATTTTTGTACAATAATAGTTTGTTTTAAAGTAGTGCATTATTGCTCCCTTTATTTGTAACAATTCTCTTTGAAGATTCAGGGCAATGAATAATGCATGAATGATAACTATTAGCTCTTTTTAGAAAAATACTTCATCAAATGTTTCTCCCAAAGTTCATGGTAGGATAGTGATTGGAAAAGCGCAGATATTACTGATTAATGGTTATTGATGAACAAGATGGGTTCAATAGTGAAACAGTTTGTGTAAATCATAGAGTTGCATTGAAACAGTTTGTAGAGAATGCATGTGAGAAAACTGGCATTTATGGACTTGGAAAAAGTATGTGAAAAAGTTTATTGGGAAAGATTTGGGAGAAGGATGTTAAATGCAGTAAAAAATTTATGTGTAGGATGTCGTGCATGTGTAAGAGTTAATGGTATAATGAAGGTCTAGTTTGCTACTAAATGTAGGTGTATGCCAGGGTTGTGTGAGTTTTACCCTTGTTATTCAACTATATTACTGTGTGTGTGTAATTACATAAGTGTAGTTACAGAATTAGAGCTGTGCTCGAGATGTTCTGTCTTCCTAGTACAGTACAAGTTAATTACCTGTTGAATAAAATATAAAAAACAGTGTTGTGTCTGCACATAAATTTGAAAGTCTTTTGAAAATAAAGTAGGGTATAAGTGAAGTGATAATATATTAAGAATTGGTAAAATATATAGATGGTTGAAGGGAAGGGAAGGGAGGGGAGGTAGATAAAATGTTAAAAATAGAAGAAAACATTACAGTAGTTTATTCAGTGTGCCAAATGATTTAGGATTTTTCTAGGATTAAATTTAGATTATTTAGTTGTTCATAGACAAGGCAATTGTTCTTATGCAGAATATGCATTGGATTGTTTTTTACTTTTATGCATTGGAAGTAATGAAGCAGGCTAAGAACAGAGGAACAGGATTGGGCAACATGCAGTAATATGGAACTGTAGTATTTGCCAAAACATATGTAAACTACATATGCTATCATACTAAATACGAAGTGAATGTGTTGATACTGTACCTAAATATTCTGACTTTTAAATCAGCTTTACAAATGCTCTGTTTTATTCTCAACTTGTTGCATTTTCACATCATAATTTTTTTATCCTTTTGCAGGTTATGGTGTGACAACTGATGGGAAGATCATTTTCATTAATGCCTCCACATGTAACATCAACTATGTGCCTGTTAATCCACCTATTGTGTTTGATATTCCCATTCCACCAGGGTTCTCAAAATGACCACCAGGCTAAGGTAGCTAGTCAAGGTTGGTGTGATCTCGGTACTGAGTCTGCATATTTGTTGTCTACCTATTGATGTGTTTTAAGTCTACCTAAATGTGTATTGTACATATTTTAATTTCTGTATTTTAGTTCATTAAGTTGGGGTACTGTTGGGAAACAAGTTTGGAAATGAATTATGGTGCAGTTATTAATCAAATTATTTATGGGTAATATTCCACATGCTAGCTTATTAATATTGTACAGAAATGTTGTACTGTATATATATAACATAATCCAGGTAGAGAACAAATGGTGCTGAAACAAATGGTGTTTACTATTGCATGTTCTATTAAAGTCAAAAGTTATAGGTTTTAATTTATGGTAAAAAATTAAATAACTAAACATTCTGTGAATTTATTTCAAAGGATAATATGGATATTGTATGTTATATAGATACAGTATTTAATATATTTAAGAAAGCAGGGATCAGTTGGATACCATAAGCACTAAAGATTTATATAGTATCTTATTGATTTTTGGGTTTTATTCATCTTTGTACAGTATCTGAATTATTTACTATTGAATTGTGAGTTCATTTGCAATCTTGTTCACAGAACATTGTCTATACAGAATTTACTTTGTTGCTACAACTCATTTTTAATTCTTGAATTGTCAAAGGAAAATCATCCCTACATTAAAGGTAGACTAAGTATGTTGTCATTTAAAAGATAGGGTTTTCTTCTCCAAGAATGCTAGAAATAGAATTACAGTGTAGTGTGTGATTTCTGGGAACAAATGTGGGTGACATACGGGATAGAATGAACAATTTATTGTCAGGCAATGGAGAAAAAGCTCATTGTCTGCCTCTCAGTAGGTGGAAACGATATTTACTGAAGTTGAAGTGAGGAGTTTTTAAACAAAAATAAAGTGGCAAAAGATATGATTAGGGATGAGGAGCGGGTCCCAGTCATGTGTGTTCTACCATAGTCGAGTAGGCAGCGAGTGGAAGTCGAAAGTGGTTGGTGTAAACCAGTGCCTCAAAGTATTGCACGAGTAATTCAGTTATCCATGAATGGTATTGCGATTCTTACAGTGACAAAAACACTGTGTGTGAGGGATGGGTTCCTCTGTTTGGGGAGGGGGTAACAGCTTTTGCATATTAGTTGGAAATTGTTTGATGGACTGTAAACAATTAATTGATAGTGTCATTAGTGTAAATAAAGGAAGAAGATGGATAACTCCGGAAGGGAAATAACCTAGGTTGTAAAAACAATAACAATCTTGTTCCAGTGGGGGGCTAACTTGGAAATTTTCTTAAGAGTAATGTACACAAAAAAATGGAAAGACACTGTCAGAGTTGTGAAATGAATGAAGTTTCTAATACATAAACTATAGGAATATTAGAAACAAAATAGATGGCTTAAATGCACTAGTCTGCACATAATCAGTAAACATTATTGCACTAACAGAAACATGGCTGAATGTAGAAAATAGGGAACTATTATTTGAATATAAAATAAAGGGATGAAAGCTATTTTACGCTGATAGACAGATTAGATGAGGCGGGGAGTAGTAATATTCGTATATCAAAGAAAAGGATAAATCTAGTGTCAGAGAAGGAATTAATACTGAGCCACACACAGAAACTGTTTGGATAGAATATAAATAATGATAACCGGAGGAAACCGTATGCTGGAGGATGGTGATATTACTCCTCCCAGCTTGCCCTGTGAAGGAGAACTGGAACTGTGACAGGAGAACCCTTGAAGGTACAGTAGAATGGAGCCAAAAGAAATGTCCATTAAGCATGTATGGCCAATACATAGATGGGCTGGTACCATATCAGGCAGACGATACCTGTGATGTGCCCTGAGAAGTTCTGCAGGATTTGCTTTCCAGGGTGTGCTACATGCCTTACCAAATACTGCAATGAACATCCAATGTCTCCAAGACATAGTTTGTGTTTGGACAATGAGCATGAGCCCATGATGCTGCTGCATCAGCCATCACATTACCCCATATACTGGGGTGCAGTGGGACCCATTGGAGAAACATCTCTAACTCTGAGTGCGGAGATTTTTTTCTTGGTGACAACTCTGTTAAGTTGGTCAGATGTGAATCTGTCATTTGCAATTATATATTCTGTAAGGGCTTGGTAATCCAAATTTAGGTAACGTAAATGAATTTATGTTCACTGTTTTCAAGTCAGTGGCAGGAGTGACTGGATAAACATAGAAATAACTGTGTTGTACTAAAAACTGCAAATTTGTATATGTCTAGAGGGGGCTGAATGGTGGCTCCCTGAAGTTAGCTCAGGGAGGTATTACAGCTCAGGTATTACAGGCCCTAGGGGTCTGTAATACCTTCTGAAGATCAAGACTGGAACCTGGCCTTCTCTCTCAGAGGTGCAAGGATCAGGGGATTGTTATTACGTATTACTCTCTCAAAGGAAACATCCAGAAAATAAGTGAAGCAAAATAGACAACTGCAAGTTGATCCAAGAGGAGAAAATGAAGCAACAAATAACTCCACAACTGATCCTCTCAGGAGTTAGATTAAATCCACTACTTACCATGTTGTTATTGTCCAATCTTCCTTTTTCCTGACTCTCTCTCTTTGTTCAATTTTCCCAATTAGCATATAGCAAACAGCTCAGAGGTTATTGGAGGTGGTAAAGTGTCACCCTTGCCAAGGTGTTGGTCTTCATTGTCGAGAAACCAGCTGTGTCAGTGTTCTGGATATGGGTCATGCTATCAATTCTTAATTCAGGAAGAATTTTTAATCATAATGGTCACTAGCATCATTTCAAGTTCCCAATGGGAACCGCAGTTTGATTTGAGGGAGAAGGAATCACTCTCCATGTTTTTTTTTTTATCTTGATTCATTCATCAATATAAGGCTATGTACTTGGTGGGATTTTTATTACTTTACAAAGTGTCATAAAAGTCTAAATTCAGACAGAGGGACATGGGTTAGTCCAGTTGAATGATATGCAGCCCTCTCAAGGGGCACCCTGTCGTAACCTGGCACCTTGTCACTAATACAGTTCATCTATCACTGCCATAATTACAAGGGATTACTGGAATATCAAATTACTGTATGTACTATTAAATGTGACCTTTTCTTGTTGCCTTCCTACTACCATTGAAACTAAGCAGGAAACATCTTTGACTAGATTACGTATTGGCCACAAGATTAACTTGTGGGCACTTAATGAATCAAAGACCTGCACCTTCCTGTCAGAACTTAATTTTTATCTTAACCAACTCGCCTTGTAAAAATTCTGATTTCAAGGAAATTGGAAATTTTGCTTTCCTATTGTTCCTTTCTGTCACTTGCACCTTGCTAAAAATTCTCAGTGAATCAATTTCCGTTACCATCGCTCATCTTGTGTTTTCCTATAGTATTGGTATTCTGAATGACAACTTGGAACGTTGAAATTTGTGACACAGGGCTGTATAGTCTTCTGAGTTTGGCACTTTTTGATAGTTGCCTGCTTGCTTGCTTCTACAAGTTGTCATGTTACTTCTTACCTAAAGAATAACAAAGAAATTGTAGATAAGATAATAAAAATAACATAATTTGCTAATTACAGTATTGTATTGATGTATGGGCTAATGTGTAGGACTAGAAAGAGTAGAGATTAACACAAATGGCATACAGTAATGCCTCATTTCCAGTAAATAATTTACTGTGTGGGCTGATGCTAAAATGTGATTTTTGTGGTTGTGATGTATTTATGTTTGTGTGTTCAATGACTAGGAATTTTTTACATTTTTAAGCATTATGTACGTTTTAGTTCAGTGTGTATTTTTGTCCTATTTTGGATGCTGATAAGATATTACTGGGGTGTTGGGAAAGATAATGAGAGGAGCTCAGCAGAAAGATTCTGGAAGGGAGTTTGGCAGAAAGATTCTGTGAAGGATTTGATGATAAATTCTGTAAGGGTTATGGCAGGAAAGCTTTTGGATTGGGTATGGTAGGACAGCTTTTAGAAGGGGTATGGTGGGAAAGAATCTGGAAGGGGTATGGTTGGAAAGATTCTGAAAGGGGTATATATTGCCAAAGAATCGGGTAGGGGTATGGTGGGAAAGATTCATTAGCCCTTACATGTTCGGAAATATTCTGGAAGAGAATGGTGGGAAAGGTTCATGTAGGGGTATGGTGGGAAAGGTTCATGTAGGGGTATGGTGGGAAAGGTTCATGTAGGGGTATGGTGGGAAAGGTTCATGTAGGGGTATGATGGGGGAAAAGGTTCATGTAGGGATATGATGGGAAAGATTCTGGAAGGGAATGGTGGGAAAAGTCAAGTTTTTGCTGTGGTCCAATATTTGTTCAAATGGTTGGGATTGTGAGGTTTGATGAATACAAGATGTTGTGAGGAGTAATTGTAGTAACTGGAGATTAGGGAGTCTCTGGCATGCAGCTACAGTATATTTTTCCCATACACAATATCTTTACTTTTTATTTGCAGTGTTTTCCAGGTATACATCCACCCCATCTGCAAATTGAGGGGCCTAATTGTATAAATGTACATTTACAGTATATGCAAATTAATTGAAAACATATTGTGTACATTATATGCCAAGTGTTGGATACTGTAGCTTTGATTTACATCTGTATAATGCCAAACATCATTAAACACAGTGACATGTAGTAATGCTTGTCATGAATTTGAATACAGGTATATAATTAATTTAATAACACTGGAATCTAGATAATATTGGAAAAAATATAATACTTGGAGGATGGTAAGCGAGTCTTGGAATGGTAAGGCCAAGTTACTTCTCTGTATATAATTGTGTTGTTGTGAGTGGAAGGTAAAAGAATACACCACATCAAATATAGGCATGTATTGTGCATCGATTGAAGTAAATATGAACACTAAGAAACACAAAAGTTGTAAGTAAACTTTTTAGAAGATCACATTTTTCCTGTTAGGGCTTTTATTAAATTTAATTGAGTCCTTACAAGAATACATCATCTTCAACAAAGTCTGCTCTTAATTTGGTGCTTCTCTACATTATTGTCAACACTTTGGTCTCTGTTCAACACAAAGACAAAGCAGGTGTTACTAGGTTAATTTCTGATTTACTGGCTACATCGCAGGCATTTTTAAGCAAACTTGCTGCTTGTGTAATGGAGGCATTTTGTGGGAGGATGCACAAGAAGAAAGTGGTAGAATTTGCCTGATTGATCAGTTTAGTTTGCACAGTAAATAATAAATTATTCGGGTAGTATTGAGAAACTTTAACTCTTGACCAAATGTATGTAAATAAAAGAGCAGTTTGTATGTGCTGAAAAGCTACATTAGCTTGCTTGATCCACTCCATATTAAATGAGAATGGAATTACAGATAATAGATAAATTGTGTTTTATACAAATGTTTTATGTAACGAATGTCTTTCAAATACATATACCTGTACTGTATCACATTTTCATCCTCACTATAAATTGTTTACATCGGGAACCTGTGAGGTAGTGGTTGGGAATGTGTGTCATGAGTGTAGCGACTATTTGATAGTCTTACTGCTCTCACACTTTACCAGTCAGCTAAAAAAAAGTATTATTTTTTCTATGAATACATTATGTGAATAGGAGTTATCCTATTCTTAGCATAATATATCTTATGGCTTTTTATTGAGATGGCAGATTATGATTATTACCTGGATAAATGAAGAAGGGTACCCAAACTATTTTGTGTGTGGCAATCAGTGACCTAAACTTTTTGCACAAAAATGTTTTAATCGAGCAACCAATGTTTCATTTGTTACCTCTGTACTGTTCCTCAATAGTGATCCATTGACCTAGACCAAGTGGGGCCAAAGGACAAAGTGGAGGAGCGATAGCATGCATTGTACCAATGCTCTTACTAGTGCTGTAGTAGTTTTAGAACCTGTGCTAAACACAAAACTTTTTCTTTAGAAGTTTGAGGTAGCAACTTTATATATGAATTGTTAAGTGTATTTAGAAGCTCAACATTTTCATATGTAAATTGTTTTAATACAAAATTTAAATCCATGTGATCACTATATATACAGAATAATTATGGTCTCTTATGATAATTTACTTACCAAAGAATAGAAAAATTGCATGACTATTAGAATAAATAAAGATTATAATAAATTATATTTATTATCCCCTTGAAATCCTCTTGATTTTCTGATTTTTACAATAATCATGAGTCTTATTTCCAAATATCCCTCAGTCATTTGTCCCTTGATAGAATCATTGGGGAATCTGATGCCTTTGACTTCGCTAGTCTTAAGTCTTTTTGTTCTCGTATTGGGGTCTCGAGTGATATTTAGGATATTTTGAATATCAATAAATAGTCTTTGCAACTTGGTGCCTTCTTTAGATAATTCTATAACTGCACGGCCAATGCTGAACTTTGAATATTTTCTTTGCCGAAAAGCGATTACAGCGTATCTGGAAGGGAATGTGTTGTTAGCCTTATCTAGAGGGGCTGTATTCGTGACCTTGGGCCAGATTGACAAAGCAGTTACGCAAGTACTTAAGAACATGTACATCTTTCCTCAATCTTTGACGCCTTTGGTTACATTTATTAAACAGTTTACAAGCATGAAAACTTCTCAATCAATTGTTGTTATTGTTAAAAACAGCCTCCTGGTGCTTCGGATCTCATTAACTGTTTAATAATTGTAAACAAAGCTGCCTAAGATTGATCAAAGATGTACAGGTTCGTAAGTGCTTGCGTAACTGCTTCGTGAATCTGGCCCCTTATTTAGATGGACTGTGTTAGTGGCCTTATTAAAGGGTCTATGTTAGTGACCTTGTTTAAAGGGAGTGGGGGGGGGGCTATTTTGGTGGCTTGTTCTAGAATGGGTTCTCAAACCAGGTGATGTATGCCCATGATGCTCTTGGATGCATGTGTTGCTGACATCCACTCTCGGAAACAGGGTGACTGCCTGACTGCACTCACAAGGGCGAGATAATGGTACACCACTACTGACACCAGTGTGTGTGGGTGGGTATGTCATAAAATTTGAGTTGTGGTACTGGATAGAATCTTCTAAACTCCAAGTAAGTTTGGTAGAACTTTTGGCCGAGATACTTTTGAGCTCATCATGATTCATTTAACAGTGTGTGTGCTTTGGAATGCTAAAGCCCATCCTACAGCCTTAATATTCTCTCATAGATACATAATCTTCTTATACTGTACTGTGATTGTGTTTTAATATTTAGGAACATCTCATACTTACCTTTGTACATGTAGACAAAGAGTGCTGGAAAGACGGGACACCACGAGCGTAGCTCTCATCCTGTAACTACACTTAGGTAATTACACTTAGGTAATTACATATGTCTTGCCATTTATAAAACTTGCTTTCATTTTTATCTTTTTCCCTCCTCATTTATATAATTTACAATAAATATGCCCCACACTCACATTTTATCTCCAAGTATACCTCCATTGCAGTTTTGCCTGGTTCTTACTAATTTCTTTCCTCAAGCAGGCGGTAGCTTGCTGATAGTAAACAAAGCTTAGCAGTATGTTAGGAAGGACTGGGGTTGGGCTGTGGGCTGCCGAAGAAAAATTGCATGTTTCTCAAGAAACCAGAGAATTGGTTAACATGCTAAATGAATGTGCTTCACCAAACATTGAAAGAAATATGAAACTAATAAATAAGATTACAAAATAAACAAACTTAAAAAATCAAGGGGAAAGTCAAATTAAATTTAATGTATGCACCTTGGAAAAATCAAGGTGCAGTACTGTCTTTCTTTCAGCTTTACCACCAATAGTAAAATGAGGCCAGCACAGGAAGGTGGAGCGAGTCTTTAAAGCTTTACTTTTTTAATAATTACTTCCCGGTTTGGTGCCTTCTTTTGATAATTACTTACTTACTTCGGAATTGTGTCTTCGTCAAATGCTCTTCTCCGAAAATGCTTCGGACACGTTTGTGGGTAGGTATCAGGAATAGTAAGAATGTCGCTGGTGACTAGCATTCAATTTAATGCATGCATTAAATACATCGTTAAACCATTTAAAACATGCAATCAACCTAATAGTAAATATCAGATTGAGAAATAAGGAATTTACATTAAGTAATTGTTTATGCAATTTGCAAACTACATGAGAATTTATAATAAAAAACTTGTAATATTTTACTATTTTGTCTTCAGCTAACTTATAAGATTTTCGATAAGGAAACTTTTACCTCTTGAACACGAATACTGAAGGTCATGTGTACTGACATCTCGTGAATTACCCTTCATTTCATTATATTCTGGTTTGCTAATTCCTTTGCTTTCCATGCCTTCATTGTCACTCATCTGAGAGCCTTCCAAGTCTGCAGTGATCTCTCTCAATTCTGGGAAATTTTTTGTCTGGTGATGCATATATTGATCATTAAAGTTAGCATTTTCTTGTTTAGAATCAATCATATTGGGCTTTATGACCTCGGTACCTAGTTGTTGAGGTTGTTGGGATGGCAAGAGCTGTGGTAGGCACTGCAGGATTGACCAAGGACTTGATAGCTCATCTTTGTATTTATAATTTCTTCTAGCATTCTCAGAGATGTCATATTTTTCATATTCTTTAATACTGTGTGATGCCATAGCCACATGTGCTGAGAATTCAGGTGACTTTGATTGCATGCTGGTGCTTCCTAGAATTTCCTTTGCAAATTGGTGTGCATTTTTCAGGAAATCAGTCTTTATCGGAATAGTTAAATCATTTGGTATCTTTGTGATGCCCTTAAGACTATTCAAATAGCTATTTTCCAGAGAAGTCTCATCAGTGCAAGCTAACTCTGGGGTTGGTACATGGAGGTTATTTGAATGTAAGCTGCTTTCTAAGCTTGAATGAGTGTCAGTAGCATTGATTCTATAGTTAATTAGCTCATCTCTTTGCAGTGTCTTATTTCCTGTCTTCATTATATGATCTTGATCATCCTTAGACAATCCTGTTGTATTTGGGGTCTGCCTTGGGCGTCTCTTTCTTCGTCGATAATTCCCATTTTCAAACATATCAGAACATCCAGGGTCAAGGGCCCAGTAACTGCCTTTGCCTGGCCTTCCCTTTTCTCGTGGAACCTGTCAATAAATATGAGATTTAGATAGTCTAATATGTTGAGTAAGATTGCTACTCTTAATTTTCATAAACAGAACATATTTTAAAAGCAAATTTGAGGACTGATCACATTTAAGATCTCGCATATTTCTATAACAAATCAAAGTAAACATATTCAATTGTTCATCTGAACCAAAAGAGCATAAAGATTTAAAAATAAACTTAAATTCAATCATAATGAGTCAGAAGAAATGCAGATAGGTACTGTAAGTAAAGCATGGCAGTTGCATTGTTCCAGCTCAAGAACTTCTCTAATCTATGAGCACTTGATTAGACTGATGAATTACCTCTTCTGTGGGGAAAACTGACTCGTGGGATTTATGTATTGATTTATAATTTATTTATATAGTAATTTATTTCTTATGTTAATTTATTTATTTCGATAGCAGACTGTGATGTTAAAGTGGACTGTATGAGTTTAAATTCCCACAAATTTTTCCCTTCACAAGCTGGGGAGGTTTATTATTTATATATGTAGTCTATTAGTCTATCAATCAAAATTCTCGATTGGTTGACTTTCACTACAATATTAAAACCACATAGATTAGTAAATAAAATGGGGAAGCTTCATCTGTATGGTTGATAATCGAGATGGCAACACGACATGTTTGAACTGTCCCAGGGTTAAAAATGGCTACTGTCCTCTCCCTCCTGAATCATCTGTTCTCCAGAGGCATTTTATCAAGAAGTGGAAAGAGGGTTTATATTTAATCTATTTTAGTACTGATAATCAAGTTGGTTCAAAGGAAATGTTTTTATGATGTTTACAGTCCAGAGACTGATGTTTTAAGAAGAATTCCCAATATTATTAGCTGATGAATTTAATAGCGACGTGGCAATGATATCACCATTTTCTTCCTGGGAAAATTCCACTGGACTCTCGTTTTCTTTGGATGAATAACTTGGTACACAAACGGCTCCTTGTACATGATCAGCAGTACTCTTATGTACTCTATTGAGTAAATTGTCTTAATTAGGATGCAGAACTATATGAGGTTTATGCTATTCAGTGAGGCAGACATAAAAACACCTGCATGCTGTTAATTAGGTATTTCTTTGTTTATCTTGCAATTTAGTTAAGTGCAACACTATTGCATTTAGGTCGTCATCCCACAATTTATGCCACATTCTTTGCATGACATCTCTGCTTTGGTAGAGTCTGCATCTTAGAATATCAAATAGATATTTGTTTTTCATATTGTATCCCTTTGTTTAGCTGCAGGCCTCTAAGAAGCATTTGAGGTCAGGATTTGTATTGCATATTAGTTTTGAAGATGTACAGGTACACATGAGTGTGTGTAGTGCTTTTATATTTACTGGGCCCAAATTACTGACATGGGCAAAAAAATATAGACAAACTCAAGACGCAGTAAAATATGTCTGAAAATAGTTAAAAATTGTAGCAACACTTTGGTGCAAAAAATATGCCTTTATGTATGGTGCTGTATATTATTCCCTTTTTGCTATAACCGTATTGGGCCATCCACATGGATTGGCCGCCCTGGCCAGCCCACGTGGCCGTGTGGGCTGCCCATGGCCTCCAAAACAATTTGTATTTATATAAACAATGATTTTGTGTGTGATTATATTGTATATCCCTTTAAATATTAATGCTCAGTTGGTAACTCAACACACTGAGGACTGTCAACTGGTGAGAGATGTCAGTGACTCATGGGTCAACTGGTAAGAGATGTCAGTGACTTGTGTGACATTACAATATACAGTAATGGGAAAGTGTGTTCTATCATTATACTTTGTCATTATATACAAAATAAACTTAGTAACAAGAGTTAATAGCATTTAATTTTATGCAAATAGCAATACAATCATTATTATGTTTTCTAGGGGACCCCCCCCCCCACCTAGTGGCTTCCTGAAGCTATGGCATTTTTCTGCCTCTTTTTAGCAGACCAGTTCAGTAACATTCCTTGCGGGTTTGAGTTTCTCCTCCATACTGAGAGTACAGTTTAATTTTTCTTTTTCTCTGTGAACCTTGCTGTTGTCCGTTTTGCTTCACTACCTTTCTCTGTGTTTCTTCAGTTAGTGATGGTAAGGATCACCTGCTCCTGGTGTCTCTTGACGGGGGACCCAGGTTTTGGCCTCTGGTCCCCAGTAGGCAATTAAGGACTCCTAGAGTTGATGTAGATCCACACACGTGAGTCACATAAACGCGCTAGCCATAGGAAGGCACAGAATCCCACCCATAAAGAGGATTACGGGCTATTCATGCCCATGCCAACTCTTGGGTGGCTTAATCTTCATCATCATAAAAAGGCGTTTCATTACATTCAGCACTATTTTTTTATGAATTCGTGAAGTCAAAAGTTGGGTTATGGACTTGATCATTTCATAAGCACATACTATATACTATATTTGATACATGCACAAACACATAGGAGAAATCCGAGGTTGTACTGACCTTGATAAAGCAGTCATTGAGGCTGAGGTTGTGGCGGATGCTGTTCTGCCAGCCCTGTCTGTTATGCCTGGAACATAACGTTCTTTAGTACTTACTATTCCTCTCTACAGTGTTGCTTCTCACTTGATATAGATAATGTATGTTAATTATCTATGTAAAATAGAATGTTTTGAATGAAGTGGTGCCCAACCACATGGTCATGACGGTAGAGCAACGGTCTCACTTCATGCAGGTCTGCGTTCAATCCCCGACCATCCAAGTAGTTGGGCACCATTTCTTCCCTTCATCACATCGCAAGTCCTTATCCTAACCCCTTCCAAGTGCTATATAGTCGTAAGAGCTTAGTGCTTTCTCCTGATAATTCCTTCCTTCTTTGTCCGAAGTAGGAGGCTAGCCTCACTCAACTTTCATACATGAAACATAAGGAGTATTTGAGTGTCAGGCCAGTCAATATCAATCAGAGTGCCATGCTTTTAAGAAATATTGATATCTATAGTGACCATGCGAATTTCATGGTCTGAAATAAAATCAGGCATGAGATTTCCATAGAGTTTTGACAATTAGTCCTGGGCCAGGATTCATCAAGCTTTCGTCCACTTACGAAACTTTTACATCTTTCAACAATCATGGAAGCTTTGTTTACATATATTCAATAATTTATGAACTTGGAAAGTAAACAGCACAAGGTTATTATTGTTACAAAAAAAAAAACTTGTAATGGTTTACAACTCGTAAACTGTTTAATAAATGTAAACAAGGCCGCCATTATTGAGGAAAGATGCACAGGTTTCATGAGTGGTTACATAACTGCCTAATGAATCCTGGCCCTGCTGGTCATTTACATCCATCATTCCAAAAATGTAGATGCACCTATACAATTATTATATTTTTGCTTACGTTAGGTTAAGATTATTGAGAATTGTTTCTGAATATGGGAACAAAACGGAAGTAGGGAACCTGTGTGTGTAGTTTTTATTAAATTATGTTGGAAGAGGGGTGGAGGGAGAAAGGAGGAGTGAAGGGTAGAGAGGAGTGGTGGAGGTGGAGAGGGGTGAGTGGCGGGGGGTGGGGGTATGTTGGGTGTGTGTGTGTGTGCGTTGGTGGGAGTTAAATAAGTTTTATAACATGAAACGTATTTCGGGGGTCTGAAAATAACTCGCAATATTTCCAACATTTAACAACTCCAGATTTAGCGACTTTAAATTTACCAAAATTGAAATATGAAGGGGCTGTATGGTGCCATATCAATAAATTGGAGAAGATGCAAATGCATGCAACTAAATAGCTACCGAAACTGAAAAAGGAAGAGCTATAAGAAGAGGCTAAAGATGTTAAATATTCCAAAGCTAGAAGATGGCAGAAAGAGGTTTTATGATTACAACACAAAATAGGAACAGGAATCCACAAAATTGGTAGAGGAATTCTTGAAACCTGTAACTTCAAGAACAAGAGGTTACAGACTCAATCTAAGGAAACAAAGCTGCCCCCCCCCCCAAAAACAAAAATAAGAAGCTCTCTTTTTGCAAACAGATTAGGAGACGATTGGAACAAGCTAAGTGAGAAGGTGGAGGCCAAAACTGTCAGTAATTTCAAAGCATCGTATGACGAAGAGTGCTGGGAAGACGGGACACCAGGGGCGTAGCTCTCATCCTGGGACTACACTTAAGTAATTACTACACCTACAATACACACATTACATCTACAGAACCGCAGACTACACCAGAGTATAGGTGGACCGGGACGGTATTTTTTGTACGAGATGAAGCAGAATTCAAGAGCACAAGTAGATAATAGAAGCAAACAATAGTCACAGTACAAGAATGTAAGAACTTTTGTATACATATTTTTATTGTTTTATATTTATATATTCATTTATACAGGAAGGTGGTAAACATATGGAATGACCTGGATGTGCTGGAATTGGAAGAAACCTCCACAGATAGCTTTTAGAGCAGATATGGTAGAGCACAAGAACGCGAGGAGGAATAGATTCACTAGGTAACCTACCTAGCCAGAAGGCTACCCTAGGCAGGTTACCTACATATAACTATAGGTGTATACAGCTAGGTGATTTACACATACCCACTCACCTGTAATAAGGGAAACGATCCATAATGAATCTATAAATGCCAGCGAGTGTGACCTTGTGGTCCGGGGCGCTCCTGATGGCCATGGCGATGAGGGCAATGTAGGAGAAGGGCGGCTTCTGGTGTGCTGAGGGACCACAACATGATTACTCTCTCTCACTTAACATTGTCAAGTTAGCATTACACATTATTATTATATGCTGAGATATATACTTATTTAAAATTTATTATTATAAGATTTATTACTCTTATTAAGTAATAAATCAGCAGTCACTTTTTATTTGTAGTAAATAATGAATTCCAATCTTTGGTCTGGGGCTGTCGGGTTTCACTCTTTGAAATTATATTTTTAATTACTCTTTCATGTGTTTTATACTGTGAGCTCATGGGAGAGTTGTAATAGAGTTTTATGGGAGCGGTTTTTAAAATTTAAATTTTGCTCCGAGGGGCGAGTTTATTGGGCAGCGCCACTCATCCTGTGAGTGGACATACCGCCATAGTGACAGTATTGGGCAGCGCCACTCATCCTGTGAGTGGACATACCGCCATAGTGACAGTATTGGGCAGCGCCACTCATCTTGTGAGTGGACACACCGCCATAGTGACAGTATTGGGCAGCGCCACTCATCTTGTGAGTGGACACACCGCCATAGTGACAGTATTGGGCAGCGCCACTCATCCTGTGAGTGGACACACCGCCATAGTGACAGTATTGGGCAGCACCACTCATCCTGTGAGTGGACACACCGCCATAATGACAGTATTGGGCAGCGCCACTCATCCTGTGAGTGGACACACCGCCATAGTGACAGTATTGGGCAGCACCACTCATCCTGTGAGTGGACACACCGCCATAATGACAGTATTGGGCAGCGCCACTCATCCTGTGAGTGGACACACCGCCATAGTGACAGTATTGGGCAGCGCCACTCATCTTGTGAGTGGACACACCGCCATAATGACAGTATTGGGCAGCGCCACTCATCCTGTGAGTGGACACACCGCCATAGTGACAGTATTGGGCAGCACCACTCATCCTGTGAGTGGACACACCGCCATAATGACAGTATTGGGCAGCGCCACTCATCCTGTGAGTGGACACACCGCCATAGTGACAGTATTGGGCAGCGCCACTCATCTTGTGAGTGGACACACCGCCATAATGACAGTATTGGGCAGCGCCACTCATCCTGTGAGTGGACACACCGCCATAGTGACAGTATTGGGCAGCGCCACTCATCTTGTGAGTGGACACACCGCCATAATGACAGTATTGGGCAGCGCCACTCATCTTGTGAGTGGACACACCGCCATAGTGACAGTATTGGGCAGCGCCACTCATCTTGTGAGTGGACACACCGCCATAGCAGAATGTACAACACTCCCCAATAGGAAGAAAACCCGCTGGGTTGTTCATCCTGTCACTTGTACCCAATGGGAGCGGTTGTTTGCTGTTGCGGTTGTTGTTCTCTGGTGTTCCCTTTCTCTAAATGTCTTCTGATATGGGTGTTGACGTCTCTGTTCATGTATCCGTTGTTTATTACTTGTTCATGTATCCGTTGTTTATTACTTGTTCATGTATCCGTTGTTTATTACTTGTTCATGTATCCGTTGTTTATTACTTGTTCATGTATCCGTTGTTTATTACTTGTTCATGTATCCGTTGTTTATTACTTGAAGGCTTCTGTCCAGTCCCTTGTGGATGTCATGATAGTCAGAACAATGAGTCAGGGCTCTGCGTATAAATTCGTTTATGACACTAGTCTTATATCTGTCAGGGCATTCGGAGTGACCATTCATACACGTTCCAATGTTAATGAGTTTAGTGTAAACTTGTGTGGCAATAGTGTTGTCTTTAGTTCTCACGTAGACATTGAGGAAAGGGAGTGCACCATCGATGTCTAGTTCACATATATATATATATATATATATATATATATATATATATATATATATATATATATATATATATATATATATATATATATATATATATATATATATATATATAACGTGACTGAAGTATGTTGACCAGACCACACACACTAGAAAGTGAAGGGACGACGACGTTTCGGTCCGTCCTGGACCATTCTCAAGTCGATTGTGAATGGTCGACTTTAGACACAATCGACTTGAGAATGGTCCAGGACGGACCGAAACGTCGTCGTCCCTTCACTTTCTAGTGTGTGTGGTCTGGTCAACATACTTCAGTCACGTTATTGTGACTCATCGCCTGCACAAGCAATAGCCAGTTTGGCCTATCGAGGTCACCTTGCGGCTAACTATTCTGACCTTCCGAAGGAAACAATCCGAAACAGTTGTCTAACTCCCAGGTACCTATTTACGGCTACCTGAACACAGGCAACGTTATCCAAACCCTTCTGTTCTGTCGCGGGAGTCGAACCCGCGACTTTTCGGTTGTGACCGCACAGCGACGACCCATGGAGGCGATTCCAATATTGGAATTCATTATCAAATGAATTTTACATAATTTTTTTTTCAATAGTATAGGGTGATGTTTAATTTATTTTGAAATATGTCACATATCAGCAAAAAGGTGTATGTTAAGGCTGTCACTGCAAGCGATTGTGCCCACTGCATAGGTACATGCAGACGTAAACTTGCATGCACACACTACATACATGCATGCATGCATACATACATACATGCATGGGGGGTCTGGTAGCTGAGGGGACAGCGCGCGGGACTCGTAATCCTGTGGCCAGGGCTCGATTCCCAGACTAGGCAGAGACAAATTGGGCAGTATCTTTCACCCTGATGCCCCTGTTACCTAGCAGTAAATAGGTACCTGGGAGTTAGACAGCTGTTACGGGCTGCTTCCTGGGTGTGTGCGTGTGGAAAAAATAGTAACAGTTGATTGATTGACAGTTGAGAGGCGGGCCGAAAGAACAGAACTCAACCCCCCTGCAAGCACAACTAGATGAATACATACATACATACACATGCATACATACATACATATCTGTACACCAGTTGAGAGGCGGGACCAAAGCCAAAGCTCAACCCTCCCAAGCTCAACTAGGTGAGTACATTCATACAAAAGCTGCAGTTATTAAAACAAACATCAAAGTGCAGGAACTTGTCTGTAACTCAAGTTAAATATCGAACTCATTCAATTTAAAATTCATAATATATGTACGTATGTATGTATGTAAATGCATGTATGTAAATATGTACATATTTATTTATATATATAAATCTCCATCCTGACTAATTTAGTTATAAATTCGCGAGAGTACACCAGTGGTAAACACATTTCTAACACTTCCAAAGTGAAGGAGAGAGTGCTGTGTTAGGGAAGGTTGGTGTCCCTGGCGAGGACGGGCCTACCTTCACAGTCCGGTGCCGGCGAGACTCCCAGATGACATGGCGGGAACAACAGGGACGCTTGCAGTGACGCCGGGTACGAGGGCGGGAATGTGGAAGAGATGAGATGGGAGAAATAGAATGGAGAGGAATAAAAGGGAGATAGAGTGAGGTTGGGATAGGCGGTGGTGGAGGCTAGGGAATTATTCATTACTCAAGTGTTGGTTAACCCGAAACGCGGTTGGTGAATGTATAGGCGCCTCCTGCGCCTCTGGCAGTATAAGGGCACAAGAGGTGACAGCTTCCTCGTGCGGCGAACCAACGGTAACTAAACGTGTCTGCGAGAGAGACATCTTATTTAAAGGCCCAGTTAGTTTGTTTGAGTTTACTCTTGTGTTATTGTTTACAGTGGGAGGCCAAACATTTGCTCCATTGAAGGGTGCCGCGAGGGACCACCACAGCGACCTGTGTTTGTTTTCACACACACACACGCCCACCACACACACACACACACACACACACACACACACACACACACACACACACACACACACACACACACACACACACACACACACACACACACACACACGGACAGCACTCGGAGGTCGTAGTCCTTAGGACCCGGGTTCGATTCCAGGCCTAGGCAGAAAAAATGAGTAGTTTCTTTAACCTGCCAGTAAATAGGTACCTGAGAGTTTTACATATGTTACGGACTGTATCGTGGGTAGACTCACCTAATTGTGCTTGCGGGGGTTGAGCTTCGGCTCTTTGGTCCCACCTTTCAATCGTCAATCAACTGGCGTACAGATTACTGAGCCTACTGGGCTCTATCATATCTACATTTGAAACTGTGTATGGAGTCAGCCTCCACCACATCACTGCCTAATGCATTCCATTTACTAACTACTCTGACACTGCAAAAATTCTTTCTAATGTCTCTGTCGCTCATTTGGATAATCAGCTTCCACCTGTGTCCCCTTGTTCGTGTACCACCCATGTTAAATAATCCATCCTTGTCTACCCTGTTAATTCCCCTGAGACTTCCCCAGCGACGTGAGGTGCAGTTCCTCGCAGCCTTTCCTCGTAACTCATGCCTCTTAGTTCTGGGACTAGCCTAGTGGCATACCTCTGAACGTTTTCCAGCTTCGTCTTGTGCTTGACAAGGTACGGGCTCCATGCTGGGGCCGCATACTCCAGGATTGGCTTTACATACGTGGTATACAACGTTCTGAAAGATTCCTTACACAGGTTTCTGAAAACAGTTCTGATGTTAGCCGGCCTCGCATACGCCGCTGATGTCATTCTTTTGATGTGGGCTTCAGGAGTCAGGTTTGGCGTGATATCAACTAATAAGATCTTTCTCTCTGTTCGTTTCGTGAAGGACTTCATCTCCCATTCGGTATCCTGTGTCTGGCCTATTTCATTCTTCCAGTTTCATTACCTTACATTTACTTGGGTTGAACATTAGTAGTCACTTGTTTGACCATTTCTTCAGTTTGTTTAGGCCATCTTGTAGCCTCATACTATCTTCCTCTGACTTAATCCTCCTCATAATTTTTGCATCATCAGCAAATATTGAGAGGAACGAGTCTATTCCCTCTGGGAGATCATATACATATATCAGGAACAGTATAGGTCCAAAAACTGATCCCTGAGGGACCCCACTGGTGACGCTTCGCCACTCCGAGACCAGCTCACTCCTCACTGTGACTCTCTGTCTTCTGTTGCTTAGGTACTCCCTTATCCAGTGGAGCACCTTCCCTTTCACTCCCGCCTGCATCTATCTTGATTTTGTGTACTAATCTCTTATGTGGTACTTGTCAAAGGCTTTCTGGCAATACAAAAATATGCAGTCTGCCCAACCCTCTCCTTGCCTGATTTGTGTTGCCTGGTTATAGAATTTAATCAATCCTGTGAGGCATGATCTGCCATCCCTAAACCCATGCTGATGTGTTACAAAGTTCTTCCGCTCCAGATGTTCCACTAGCTTTTTTTGCACACTCTTCTCCATCAGCTTGCATGGTATGCAAGTTACGGACACTGGCCTGTAGTTCAGTGCCTCCTGTCTATCCCCCTTTGTTGAATATCAGGACTACATTAGCCATCTTCCAAATTTTTAGCAGTTGACCTGTTACTAGTGATTTGTTATACACCATGGAGAGTGGCAGGCACAGAGCTTCTGCTCCTTCCTTCAGTATCCAAGGTGAGATTTCATCCGGGCCTATAGCCTTTGTCACTTACACTGTAGCAGATGCTTTCTCACCTCTTCCACTGGTAATCACAAACTCATCTAGTGGTGTTTGGTTAGATATTTCATCTCCTATCTCTGGGACTTATCCTTGCTCTACTGTGAAGACCTCCTGTGAAGACATTTCTTATTGAGTTCCTTGCACACCAAATTGTCGTTTGTAGTGAATCTGTCTGCCCCTATCCTTAATTTCATTCCCTGTTCCTTCACTGTTGTTTTTCTCCTTCTGTGGCTGTGCAGCAATTTAGGCTGAGTCTTTGTCTTGCTTGCTACGTCATTTTTATATAGCCTTTCTGCCTCTCTTCTCACCCTGACGTATTCATTCCTAGCTCTCTGGTAACCTTCTCTGCTCACTTGTGTCCTATTATTTCTATAGTTTCTCCACGCTCTTGTACTTGTACTGTGTGTGTGTGTGTGTGTGTGTGTGTGTGTGTGTGTGTGTGTGTGTGTGTGTGTGTGTGTGTGTGTGTGTGTGTGTGTGTGTGTGTGTGAGAGAGAGAGAGAGAGAGAGAGAGAGAGAGAGAGAGAGAGAGAGAGAGAGAGAGAGAGAGAGACAGAGAGAGAGAAATAGTCCATTGTGTCTGGGACAGGCAGCCTGTGCTCATATAAACGTTAGGCTTATACCAAGGTCCCCCCAAATGTGGAACTATTGACCCTCCCCAGGATCCAACCCCACAACAAGCTGACTAGCTCTCGGGTACCTATTAACTGCCAGGTGAACAGTGGCATTAGATATATGTAGTAGCTATCTTGGAGGACAATAGGTCCAGAGTCAGTACATTACACAGCCGAAGGTTAAAAAAGGCGGGGTCCAAGAGCTAGTAGCTCGATCCTGCTGGCACAATTGGTAACTACACACACGCCCTCCGCGCGCGCACCCCCCCCACCCCACCACCGCGCACACACACACACTGTTGATTGACGGTTGAGAGGCGGGGCCAAAGAGCCAGAGCTCAACCCCCGCAACCACAGTTAGGTGAGTACAATTAGGTGAGTACACCTGGGTCAGCTAAAAAAAAAAGAGCTGAGGTGACAGCGCGCGGGACTCGTAATCTGTGGCTCGGGTTCTATTCACGGCGCCGGCAGAGACAATGGGCAGAAGTTCTTTCACCCTGATGCTCCTGTTACCTAGCAGTAGATAGGTACCTTGGAGTTAGATAGCTGTTACGAGCTGCTTCCCGGGATGTGTGTGTGTGTGTGGAAAAAAAATAAATACAATTAGTAATAGTTGATCGATTGACAGTTGAGAGGCGGGCCGAAAGAGCAGAGCTCAACCCCCGCAAGCACAACTAGGTGAATACACACACACACACACACACACACACACACACACACACACACACACACACACACACACACACACACACACACACACACACACACGAAAAAAAATAAAGTTTAGACTACCAGGGGTCGTACTCGAACAAGGAGACACAGAAACAAAGTATCCAAGTGAGCAGCAGAGACATTACAAATAATTTCTGTGTGCGTCAAGCTGTTTTAGCTTAGTTCGTATATTACTAATCCTGTGGGGCGGTAGTGGACCCCATACACATCCTGTGGGCGGTAGTGGACCCCATACACAGCCTGTGGGTGGTAGTGGACCCCATACACATCCTGTGGGCGGTAGTGGACCCCATACACAGCCTGTGGGTGGTAGTGGACCCCATACACAGCCTGTGGGTGGTAGTGGACCCCATACACATCCTGTGGGCGGTAGTGGACCCCATACACATCCTGTGGGCGGTAGTGGACCCCATACACATCCTGTGGGCGGTAGTGGACCCCATACACAGCCTGTGGGCGGTAGTGGACCCCATACACATCCTGTGGGCGGTAGTGGACCCCATACACCACCTGCGAGCGGTAGTGGACCCCGGGTTATTGTTTATTGCGAGGTGAACAGAGGCATCAGGTGAAAGGAAACGTGCCCTACCATCCTCATTTGTGAGCTAAGGCCGCAGACCACTACACTCTATGTGTCCCCAGTGAGGGAGGGGAGGGGTTGCGTGAGTGTGAGGGAGGGGGCAGGTGTCATGAGGGAGGGAGGGGGCAGGTGTCATGAGGGAGGGAGGGAGGGGGCAGGTGTCATGAGGGAGGGAGGGAGGGGGCAGGTGTCATGAGGGAGGGAGGTAGGGGGCAGGTGTCATGAAGGAGGGAGGGAGGGGGCAGGTGTCATGAGGGAGGGAGGGAGGGAGGGAGTGAGGGGGCAGGTGTCATGAGGGAGGGAGGGAGGGAGGGAGTGAGGGGGCAGGTGTCATGAGGGAGGGAGGGAGGGAGGGAGGGGGGCAGGTGTCATGAGGGAGGGAGTGAGGGGGCAGGTGTCATGAGGGAGGGAGGGAGTGAGGGGGCAGGTGTCATGAGGGAGGGAGGGAGGGAGTGAGGGGGCAGGTGTCATGAGGGAGGGAGGGAGGGAGGGGGCAGGTGTCATGAGGGAGGGAGGGAGGGAGGGAGGGGGCAGGTGTCATGAGGGAGGGAGAGGGGGGCACCCGCTGGACCACACCGAGCGTCGACCCCTCCTGTTGTAAAATTTGATTCGTACGTTCGAGGTTTATTTTCTTTTTCTCTAGCGAGCACTTGTGCGCCCCGTGTTATGTTGTCATAATAATCCGTGGTGGTTTATGTGGCCGGTTAAGGCACCTGCAGTTGGCCCTCATGAAACACATATTGTATAAGCGCTTTATTAATCACATATTTTGTCCTCTAGTACACAATAAGCATGAGGTCAATTGTAGTTTCTGTTCAAGTTATCTTGGGTCTTATCTTTCTTCCAGGTAACAAATATTTACAGTTAGATTATTACGCCTTCAGAAATATTTTACTTTAATGTATTGATTTATTTTCTTCAAAATTTACGTGCTTCCTAGTCCTCCAGGGGCCAGATTCACGAAAGCAGTTACGCAAGCACTTACGAACGTGTACATCTTTCCTCAATCTTTGACGGCTTTGGTTACATTTATTAATAAGTTTACAAGCATGAAAACTTCCCATTCAACTGTTGTTATTGTTATCAACAACCTCCTGGTGCTTCGGAGCTCATTAACTGTTTACTAATTGGAAACAAAGCCGCCAAAGATTGAGAAAAGATGTACACGTTCCTAAGTGCTTGCGTAACTGCTTTCGTGAATCTGGCCCCTGGCTCGGAGGCTTCTTTTTATAACTAATTACTCTTCGTATGTTGCCCCGGAGGAGGAGTTTGCTGGAGAGCCCACCAGTTGATTGACAGTTGAGAGGCGGGACCAAGGAGCCAGAGCTCAACCCCCGCAAGCACAACTAGGGGTGTACATGCTGAGAGTGAAAGTAACGCCCCAGCAGCTGTGTACAACACCTGCTCCACTACAGATGTTACCCATTCATAACACACTGCAACGTGCTCAGTTAAGCAAGTCCCAGCTGTGTCTGGGTACAAGTGACAGGATGAACAACCCAGCGGGTTTTCTTCCTATTGGGGAGTGTTGTACATGCTGCTATGGCGGTGTGTCCACTCACAAGA